ATTACTGCTAGTACCCTCTTTTTCTTTTTCTTTTTTTCCAGTACTGGTGTTTGAACTAGGGCCTACACCTTCAGCCACCCGCTACCTCATTTTTTGTGATTTTTAATTTTTTTTTGAGATAGAGTCTCCTGAACTATTTGCCCAGGCTGGCTTCGAACTGTGATCCTCCTGATTGCTGCCTCCTGAGTAGCTAGGATTACAGGCATGAGCCACTAGTGACTGGCTGCTACTACCGTTTTTAGAGCTGAACATTTCTTTTCAATTGTTTTCATTATTAATTTGTTCTTGTAGCAAATGGATGAATACAGTATGTCTAATTTCCTATTACTAAGTAATTTATTTTTAAGCTATTTCAGTATCTTATCCTCTACACTCATCTCTACCTTCACCTTCTGGGGATGACCTTGGTAAAATCAAATATTAGTGTGGATAAAAAAAATCACATAATAAAAATAAATGTCAGCGTCCTGTAGCTACTAAAGATTTTTCCTTTACGTTCTAGCACCACCTTCAGGGAAAACTATGTATTGCATAATATTGTTTTTTCAGAGCCCAAATTAATGAACATCAAAATAACTGAACCCTGCAAAGCACTGGGAGTATAAAGAAGTACAAAAGTTAAGGTTTCTGCTGTAGCCATCCTTACACTCTACATGTAGATAAAGGACATACAAAACATATTTAGGATGTAAACGACATTACACAAAATATCCTGTTACTATATTACAAAGCAAACAACAATAAAAACAGCATGGTACTGGCACAAAAACAGACATGAAGACCAGTGGAACAGAATAGAGGATCCAGATATGAAGCCACACAACTATGAGAAACTTATCTTTGACAAAGGAGCTAAAAATATACGATGGAGAAATAGCAGCCTCTTCAACAAAAACTGCTGGGAAAACTGGTTAGCAGTCTGCAAAAAACTGAAACTAGATCCATGTATATCACCCTATACCAAGATTAACTCAAAATGGATCAAGGATCTTAATATCAGACCCCAAACTCTTAAGTTGATACAAGAAAGAGTAGGAAATACTCTGGAGTTAGTAGGTATAGGTAAGAACTTTCTCAATGAAACCCCAGTAGCACAGCAACTAAGAGATAGCATAGATAAATGGGACCTCATAAAACTAAAAAGCTTCTGTTCATCAAAAGAAATGGTCTCTAAACTGAAGAGAACACCCACAGAGTGGGAGAAAATATTTGCCAATTATACATCAGACAAAGGACTGATAACCAGAATATACAGGGAACTTAAAAAACTAAATTCTCCCAAAACTAATGAACCAATAAAGAAATGGGCATGTGAACTAAACAGAACTTTCTCAAAAGAAGAAATTCAAATGGCCAGAAAACACATGAAAAAATGCTCACCATCTCTAGCAATAAAGGAAATGCAAATTAAAACCACGCTAAGATTCCACCTCACCCCTGTTAGAATAGCCATCATCAGCAACACCACCACGAACAGGTGTTGGCGAGGATGCGGGGAAAAAGGAACCCTCTTACACTGTTGGTGGGAATGTAGACTAGTACAACCACTCTGGAAAAAAATTTGGAGGCTACTTAAAAAGCTGGACATCGATCTACCATTTGATCCAGCAATACCACTCTTGGGGATATACCCAAAAGACTGTTACTCCAGAGGCACCTGCACACCCATGTTTATTGCGGCACTATTCACAATAGCCAAGTTATGGAAACAGCCAAGATGCCCCACACTGACGAATGGATTAAGAAAATGTGGTATCTATACACAATGGAATTTTATGCAGCCATGAAGAAGAACGAAATGTTATCATTCGCTGGTAAATGGATGGAATTGGAGAACATCATTCTGAGTGAGGTTAGCCTGGCCCAAAAACCAAAAATCGTATGTTCTCCCTCATATGTGGACATTAGATCAAGGGCAAACACAACAAGGGATTGGACTATGAGCACATGATAAAAGCGAGAGCACACAAGGGAGGGGTGAGGATAGGTAAGACACCTAAAAAACTAGCTAGCATTTGTTGCCCTTAATGCAGAGAAACTAAAGCAGATACCTTAAAGCAACTGAGGCCAATAGGAAAAGGGGAACAGGTACTAGAGAAAAGGTTAGATCAAAAAGAATTAACCTAGAAGGTAACACCCACGCACAGGAAATCAATGTGAGTCAATGCCCTGTATAGCTATCCTTATCTCAACCAGCAAAACCCCTTGTTCCTTCCTATTATTGCTTATACTCTCTCTACAACAAAATTAGAGATAAGGGCAAAATAGTTTCTGCTGGGTATTGAGGAGGGGGAGCGGGAGGGGGTGGAGTGGGTGGTAAGGGAGGGGGTGGGGGCAGGGGGGAGAAATGAACCAAGCCTTGTATGCACATATGAATAATAAAAAAAAATCCTGTTAAGTAACTTACACATAGTGACAACTAATTTAGTTTATGTTAACCAAAATCAAAGCACCTTATTTTATTCATTCTATTACTACCTAATGCCAAGCCAATGTTCTCTTTGTTGCTCCCTTTCCTCTCTTTCTAGCCTGTGCTAAATATTACCATTAGATTGAAATCTTAATCATTTCACTATATCATCACTTTCTTCCAAAATCTCAAATGGTTTCACACCACCTTTGGAACAAAGCCCAAATTCTTCAATTCAACAGGTTTGATCCCAACCTTTAGATTAACTTGCCTTCCTTAACCTCCCCCCAATGCCTCACCCCACATGAATCCTGTCTAGTTTCTATGTTGTTTATTGCTTATTCTGGATGTATTGTCTATGTTCCTGGTGTGGCCCATTTCCCTGAACATTATTCTGCCATTTATACCCGTGATTATTTAACACGTGTTAAATTGTAAGTGTGGAAAACAGAAATGGAGTTTCCAAGTGTACCTCCTAGAGGCTACTCTTCTGTTTCCTACCTACATTTCCACAGAATGCTGCACTTATTTTCACTATTCATAGAAATCCCGGAGCTATCATAATTTCTGAGACAACATATCTCTAGTTTTTGTTGAATTACTAAATACTTCCTGTCTAAATGTCTACTTAATATAATCAAACACTACTTCCATAAGATTTATCTTTAGATTAGCTGTTAAATTTTTGGAAGTCAGTGATAATTCTATAATTTCTCAGCTTCTACTTTCCTTCTTCCCCCACAAAAACCAGTAATGCTCATGTACCAGTTTGCGAACTCCTTTTTAATATAAAAGTTTTTCAGATTCCTCTCATCACCTAACAGACATAATAGTACAGTACTGACAATTTGAGGGTCTATAAAATTAGGAGACTTTTGACAATAGCTTATACATGTTTTTAAAATAATGCATGTGTATAAAAATGATGACATAGTAATATTTGGGGGCCTTACCATATGTTAATGCTTTTTTCTGTGAAGTTTCTTTCAATAATAGTAATAATAATAACAAATATCTGTAAATAATCAGGTAGACCTCAGCTTAATGCGAGACTTCATTTTACCTCTCATTTGTAAAATGGGTCATATGCAAACCCAGCATCTTCAGGGCTACAGTGAGAATTAAGAAAAGCACACTAGATGTAATGCTCAGTGCTGCCTGATACAAAATGAACTCTTAAGAGAAAAATTAAGTATCTTTGTGGTAAGCAATATTATTCTCATTCCACCATTTCATAAGTGGGGCGACTAAGTAACCCTGCTGGAGGTCTTAGGGTGGTGGAACCAGGATAGGGCATTCTAGACTAAATAAATACCTAATTGGTTAGTTGCAGTGACCTAAGCTCCTACAGCACTTTTCTTTTCTTTCTTTCTTTCTCTTGAAGAAACCAGAGTTTGAACCCAGGGCTTTACCCTTGCAAAGCAGGAGCTCTACTACTTGAGTCACACCTCCAGTCCATTTTGTTCTGGTTATTTTGGAAATGGGGGATCCATGAACTATTTGTTCCAGCTGGCTTCAAATCGTGATCTTTTGATCTCAGCCTTCCAAGTAGCTAGGATTACAGGCATGAGGCACCGCTCCCAGCAGCACTTTTTCTTATAATACGGAATTTATTTACTATATCTCCATCCTTCATTTGAGCTGTTCAAGGGCAGGGATTCTGTTTTTCTTACGTCAGTATGTAGCGATATTGGGAACAGAACACTGTTTAAAGTAGTATCCGTGATCATTATTGCATGGAGGCCTGAACTTGGGTGCAGTGGCTAGCTGCAGCGGCCGGAAGAGCTTTCCTCACTTGAATTTGTTCTGAGACACAGGTCTACTGATTTGTTTTGTAAACAATTTCTGTTGGTAATTGAGAGGGACGATTTGTTGTTGTTGGAATCCAGTTTCTCCTTAGCCTTATTTTGCATTTGAAAACCTTATCCCATAATTACAAACTCTAAAAATAGAACACCCTTCACACAACTGAAACCGACAGGTGTTCTAACTCTTCAGCCTGGCGTGTTGAAGGCCTTGTCACTTTACCGAATGTTCTATTGTTGTTTAGAGGCAATCTGTCAGTTTACTGATCTTAATAGAACTGTTAACATACGAGTATAAAGGGAATTGAGACACCAGCAGATTTTGAGAAATTTTTCTGAGATTAAATTCTGACTAAAACATTGTTTCTTTTAGGGAAAATTAGGACACCAGAGTGGGATTAATTAGTAATATTTATGATTCTCCCACCGACTATGATATGTGGCAAATTATTCAATTCTTGTTAAAAACCTAGGGGGACGGACTAGATTGTAGGGGCCTTTTCGTGTCCTTTCCTTCGTGGCAGGGATGTGGGAGGGAAGGGACTAGAAGAGCCTCTTAGGTCTGACGCCCACCCTCTCCCCCAACCCCACGCCCGTTCCCGCTCACGACCGGGCCAACCCACTTCCGCACAGGCCTGAGCCGCGCGTCCCGAGACCTAAATGGGTCGCGCACAGCACGCTGGGACTTGTAGTTCCCCGCCTCATAGCGGTTGGGCGTTGAAAACTAGGGTCCAGCGGGCATTCTGGGATATAGTCTCTGGTTGTCGGTTTGTGTTGATCCGTTCCCAGCTGAGGGGTCAGAAGTGACACTGCCGCGTCACGTGACTCCGGTATAGCGCGCACGGAGATCGCACTGCGGCTCCGGCCCGGGCGACTTCTCGCCCCCGTGAGGCCGTTGCCGAGGAGACGGCGCATGTCCCGCGCGCATTGCCCCCTCTGCAGTACCCCCCGCCCCTCTTCTCCCACCACAATGAGATCCTAAGATGGCGGTGGCTGCGGCGGTTGGCGCCGAGTAGCTAAGGTGGAGAGGGCGGCCATTGGGCTCTAGGCAGTCAGGGAACTTGAAGATCTCCCTGCTGCGGTGTCTGAGGAAGAACTGCTGCCGGTGGCGGGTCCTGAGGGCCGCCCGCCGCTCCGCTCTGGGCAGGAGAGGCTGCACCGTTCACAGGTAAAAGCTGCGCGTCTCCGGCCCTTGGCAACCGAGTTTACCGCGCCACCGGGGCGGGAGAGCAACGGCTGCGGGACGCCTGGTCCTGCCGGGCCTGGCCTCGGGCCCACGCCTCCTGCAGACTCCTGGGTCTTGCTGCCAGCTTCTCGTCCCCTTGCTCGGGACTGACTGACGCGATCTGCGGGGTGAGCATCTAGGGACACGTTGGGGACCCGCAGGAGCCCTCCGCCCTCCCCGCCTCTCTCCCTAAGACCCGGAGGAGGCCGCCCCGAGTCCCGGCAGCTCCAGCGCCTCTCACAGCGGGGGGAGGCGGGGCCGGGGCTGTCGTTTGGGTGTCGCGGCCGAGGTGTCCGAGCCAGGCCTGGGTGGCCCCGTGACCGCACTCCTTTCCTCCCGCCCACCGCCACGTTCCACCGGGCGCGGGCGGGCTGCGGGGTCTCCGCCGTTTGTGCGGAAGGGCCGGGTGGGCGTTCCCGACGGGGAGGCTCACATTCGCCCGGGGAGGTCGATCCCACCGCCCGCCCCTCGCCCGGCGCGTTTTCCTCCTCCATCGCTTAGGTCCTCTGCAGCCCCGGCCGGGACCGGGCGAGTGGGATGCGGGCTCACGCTGCAGAACCCGGTGCTGGGGTTGCGGTGGGTGGGGGTAGGATGGGACCCCGCGGGGCGTCTGGTGTCGCGAACTTTTCGTCCCGCGCCTCTGGAGCGCGCCCTGTCTGAGCCTTTGGTTTCCCAGCCCGGCTGAGGCCAGGCAGTGGGGGCTGTCGGTGACGGATGGCGTTGCGGCGCTGAAAGCCGGCTTTCTGGGCGCCCCCGTCACCCCCACCCCGTCCCCGCCTTCCGCCGTTCGCTGGCTGCGGGTGGGCGTGGAGCACGGTGCACCTGCCTCTCCTCTCGGCTCACCGTCCTGCCCCGGCCCGCTGCACGCACGCCTGGTTGTGGCGGGCCTGACGATTTTGTTACTGAGCAGCCGGTTTTTAAAGAAGCGCGTTCCACATCCTCAGATAGCCAGAGTTCTTGAAGTTTTTGTGACAGGAAGTCAGTGACTCGATCAAATCAAAATAACTTCCCTGTGGATCTCTAAATGATACTCGGAAAAATATAACTCTCATCTTCTAATGTAGACCTTAAGGTATCGCTTTGCTATTTGGTTGGATCTAGAGGTTTGGGGGATTTAAACATCACATTGTTTTCCAAAAGGATTAAGGTAACGGGCTCAAAATGTCAATGAGTTATGTTTTTCTTTTTTGTTGATAATCCTAAATATTTTAGTCCTCATAGTGTTTTGTTCTGTACTTAATTGTGTAAAAATTTACTGAAGTGTAATTTTTTTTTTTAATAAGGTAGTTTTGACGCGTGGAGCAAGAAAGGAGCTGCTTCTGAATTGCAAAAAGTAGTTTCTAGACAGGTAATTTGATATGTATATATTTATATATATATGTGTGTGTGTGTGTATTAGTTTCCTTTCTGTTATAGTTGACGAACACTTTAAAATGGAGACCGTTATCCAAAAACCAGTGCATGACTGAGGGTCCTCTACTTTGTAAACGGACATCCTGGGTTTGCTGCCGTGTTTGCTCTGCTACTATGCTTTTTGGCATGCTACTTTGGTCTGCCTTCATCTTTGTTAGAAAACAGCCAAGCCATTCCTACTAATTACGTACTAGAATGGCCTGTGCAGTACCTTTGAAATTTTTGCTGTAACAACTATTTGAATAGCCTCTCTTTTTAAAACCGTTTAATCTCAAGTTATCTCCTTCCACATTTCTGTTAGTTGGCTTTGTTTTTAATCGTGAACTTTTCTGCTTTTTAAGTTTCTTATACCTACAATCGACTTACATTCTTTTAGTGCCTAAAATTACTGTGAACATTAGTTTTTGTGCATAGTGCATTGCCACATGCCACAGACAGTCCTGGGAAATATACGTTCATTGAGAGGAAGTTAAGTAATTATTTGCTAAGGACAATTTAGAAATTAAATAGCTAAAGGATGAGAATTACAAGAAATTTGGTTAAAAGTGTTTTAGAAATAATTGATCTTTAAAGAAAAATTTCAGTGTCTGAATTTAATTCTCCTGTAAAAATTTTAAGAAAAACAGGCATGGTGATCTGCACCTGTAGTCCAGCACATGGGAGGCTGAGGCAGGAGGATTGAAAGTCCCAGGCTTGGCTGGGCTACATGACAAGACCCTGTCTCCAAAAATCACATTAAGGAAAAAAATGAAGAAAACTTATTTTCAGAATGTGTTCCGTGTATTATTGCTTTCTATAAAAGCAAACAGATTTTCAAGCTCCCTTTGAGGACTTTGAATGAGACTATTATGAGAAAATCCAAATCGGTAGTTGATTTATATATCAATTTCAATACTAGCACGTTTTGTTTTTCTGAAAAAAAAAAAAATGGAACTCAGGAGAGATCGATGTGAGTGTGCCAGTTTTTAACACTAAATGATTGCTGTGTAGTGGGTATTAGTGATATAAAAAATTTTAAAATGGGTTATAATTTTACTTTCAGGACATTAGGGAAGATGGATGGGAAGCATAAAAATGTAGAGTAACTGAGTCTGGTATCTGAATGGGAATTCAAGCCCCTTGAAGGAACAAATGGATTTGAAATGAAAACCAGAGAAAGTTTGGAATACAATCACATCAGGGAATTCAGTATGAAACTAACAGGACATACATAGCAATAGATTCACTTTACAAATTTAATAGGGTGCCCCCAGAGTACTTTGTAATGACTATAAAGTGTAGAGATAGGGTAGTGAGCAAAAACCCATAATGCCTTACCTCATGGTAAAGTATGTGCATATATGCAGGACATAGTGCCATTTTAGGACCGTTTCTCCACTTTCACAGGCTGAGAGCAGGAGCAAAGAAGGCAGGTAGTGGGTTTATCTAAAGTTAACAGAATGAGAAAAATAGGAGAAAGTCAAGAATGCTAGCAAGGTATTTTTATAGTAACTTAACTGAATTTGGGTAAGAAAGCAAGAGAGAGTCTGGGAAACAAAAATGATCTAGGAACTGGAAGTATTCTGGAGGGACAAGAGCAGGTTCAGTAGTGAGAGAACTATAATGCAGAACTTAGAAAGAATTTCCTGAATAAATGACCAGCTCAGAATCAAAAAGGTATTGGAATAGAGAAGAAAAGGTAGACATTGGAATTGAGACCAGAATCTTAGAAAAAATTTTTAAGTGTTCATAGGAGCAAGGAATGAGACTAGAGACTTGGCCCAAGTGATAGAACTCCTGCCTAGCAAGCAGGAGACCATGAGTTCAAACCCCGCAGTATTGCCAAAAAATGAAAGTAGGGAGTGAAGTGGAAAGTGAAACTGAGAGCCAGTTGTTACAAAGAAAAGAGCTTGACAGTAGGAAATGGTGCCCAAGATAAGAGTGACTTTGTTTATGGCTGCATTGGGGTATAAACTCAGGGCTTCATGTTTCCTAGGTAGGCCCTGAATGGATTGGTGTTGAAGATAGGGATGAGAGGTTGATGGCAGAAACAGAGCTTAGTGATTTTGCCCAGGGAGAAATATGTAATTAATGATAAGGAAGTTACAGACTTGGAATATACTTGCAGGGAAGGAGAGGTTGTAGCAAGCAGAATTTTGTATATTGGGAGATTAATTGGCCTCAGGGTTCACACTTGCTTTTGTAGAAAGTGAGGATATATTAAATTGTGTGCGTGTAAAAATGTTCTACTTAACTGTAAAAAATAAATTTATACCACAAAGAAATAATGTTTGAGGAAAGACATTTTTTAACCTGATTTCATTATACAGTGTTTACATGTATCAAAACACTGCATACTACCCCATTAATATGTAGAATTTTGTGTGTTTATGTTGTTACATACAAAGTTTACACTGTAAGTAACTGTACTGTAAGATAGACCTAATGCAATACTTGGTACATAAGTATGATCCAAAATGAGTGTTTATTGCAATTTATTTGTCCACCTTTCCCCAATACCTTAAGAGTTTCAGTTTTGTTTTGTTTTTTTTTTAATTTGAGGAGGTATCTTAAGTTCTAAGAGTAATTATTAGAAATTTATTGAATTTTTTTTAAGAAAAAAAAAATCTCAAATTGATGTCTTGCAGTATGGCTCATGTTGTAGAGACTGTTTGCCTAGTAAGTGCGAGGCCCTGAGTTCAAACCCTAGTACTGATTTAAAAAAAAAAAAAGTCTCAAGAGCAAGGGGTATGGCTCAAGTGGCAGAGCACTTGCCTAGCAAGTATAAGGCCCTGGATTCAAATCCCAGTACTGCCCAAAAAAGCAATGGGAAAGATCTTGTGTGGGTTTTTTTTTGTTTGGAAGCACAGGGATTAAATCCAGGGCCTCAGGTATGCTAGACTAGCACTCTACTACTGAACTGTATCATCAGCCCTATATGAAAGGTACCTTACTATCTTGTGTATAGAGGAGAAATATATTTCTTAAGTGAAACTCGATAACACATAATACTGAGTATTTATGCATTTTTCACCTCACTTTCCATCAAAAGTGCTTAGTTGTACACTGTATTGAGGTTTTCAAACAGTGTACACTGCTGGGGAAAAATATTTGCAATACATATTTCTGGTACCAGTGAATGGTCTCTGCTTTCACCTGAGTCCTGAGTGCTGCCCTTTGTCATTCTGTTCCTCATTTTTCTCATATCTCTTTGCCACTGCCATCTCACCCTTTTAATAAGGATTATTTAGTAAAGATTGTTTAATATGCAATCCTTAATTACACATCACTTATAAACTCCCTCAACTTTGTTTTTTTTTTTTTAAACTCAGGGCTTTGAGCCATCCTCCCAGCCCTTTTTGCTTTAGTTATTTTTCAGGTATGGTCTTGTATTTATGCTTGGGCTGGCCTGGACCTCCATTCTCTTATTTATGCTTTCTGTGTAGCTGGAGTGACAGGTGGATACCACTGTGCCCAGCTATTGGTTGAGGTGGGGTCTCACAGACTTTTTGCCTTAGCCAGCCTCAAACCACAGTTCTCTCTATCTCTGCTTCCTGGAACTCGCTAAGCATTGTACTAAATCTGCCAGTCAGCCTCTGTTCAGTTCTTCCCATTTTTGCTTTGGCGTCATTAGAAGTGTATCTCTGCTTGTCGAACACTAACTCTCCCTCCCCCATCCCAGTACTCACACTCTCAGAGACCATATGTTGTTTATCTTCTTCCAGTTTTGTTATATTCAGTATCTGTCTCCATGGGCTCTTTGCTGACAAATTTTAAACATGCTCAGGATACTTCGATTTTAATAAACCTCCAGAAAATCTCTGCTTGCTTCATTTCACAGATTGGTTCCTTAAAAATATTAGCTAGTGAGCTCTTTGTTTCTTCTTCTCCTTCCCCTTAATAATGCATTCTAATTATAAAATCCACCCTCACAACTCTGCTGAAATTGTGTTTACCAAGGTCAGCATTAGCCTCTGTGTTGCTAAATGTAAGTGGATCCTTGTGAGCACTTTTCTTACTGGACTAGGTAACATTTGCTGTATCACACTTGTTGATAGATTTACCCTTTTTGGCACATTCTGCTGTTTTTTCTCCTTTCCGTACCTTTTGGTGTTCTTTTCCTCTTCCTTAAATATCAGTGTCCTTTAACGGTCCATCTTCTCTTGCTGTTCATCTTCTCCCTGAGACTTCTGACCCATATAAAGTACATTTATTGTCATCTCCAACCTAGATTTTTCTTCTGAAAAATCTGTATTTGCCCAGTACATGAATTTAATTAGGTGTGCCATAAGTACTTCAAATCCAGCATTTCTAAAACTCTAACTCATCATCCTGTTCTTCAATAACCGAAATTTGTTCTTTAGTAATCACTTTACACCCAGTTGCTCAAGGTAGAGACTTAGGTTTTAGGCTTTAACTCATTCCTCATCTCCTACATCGCAATAGTCACCATGCTCCAAATTGGTCTTTTCTACATCCCTCTCTACATTCCTAATCTTTTGATTGTTGGAAGCCCTTTCTGTACATCTGAATACTAATTTATATTAATTGGTCTATAGAATAAGTTCTAGAAGGCAGAGATCTGACATTTTTAATGATAACTTTGCCATGATTTAAGTGGTTGGCATGAAGAAGAGAAATGACTTGCCATTATTTTCCACCCATTCATAGGAGGAGATGTTTGCTCTTTGAGAAATCTGCTGAATGTTCATGCATTAAGAATTGAGGGGGATGAAGGAGAGCAGTGGAGGGGGTAAATTCAAATATATATTTGATACATTGTAAGAACCTTTATAAATGCTACAATGCCCCCCCCAAGCAAACAATAAAAAATAAATAAAGAATTGGTCTACATGCAATTTTTTTTTTAACTAATAAATTTACTTAGATAATAGTATGCCTTTGAAATATACATTGGCTATCATTGTTACAGTTAAATATTTTATCTTAATATAGCAATCACAGCCAGCAGTTTACTTTACTAACTCAATAGATAAACTTTAGTAAATAAAAAAAAGATTTAAAAGATATTTGATCTTTTTTTCCAAAACTAATTATATTGTATTATCTTAAACTATTTTAGAAACTTATATAGTGTTCAATCTTTGGCCTGTAAATACATCTTTAGAATAAGCTCTGCATTTTAGGGGAGGCTATTATTTTAATATAAAAATAGATGTAAACATTCTGTCTTTTTTTTTTTTTTTTTTTTTAAAGATAAGGTCTCACTACATAGCTCAGACTGGCCTTGAGCTTAAGTTCCTTCTGCCTCAGCCTCATTCAGGGATCACAGGTGTGGGCCACAATGCTCAGCTTTTTTTCTAGATAACTAGCTAGATAGTTTTTTTTGTTGTTGTTTTTGGTGGTACTGGAATTTGAACTCAGAGCCTCACAATTGCTAGGCAGGTGCTCTACTATTTAAACAATGCCCCAGTCCTTAATTGATCTTGAAATAAGATAACTATCACCCTATGGATAGAGGGTATAACATACTTTATTTTAAGACAATACTGATGTAAGAATTTTTACTTAAATATTTAGTAATTCCTCCCCCCCCCTTTTTTTTTTTTTTTTTTTGAGGTACTAGGGCTTGAATTCTGGTTCTTATGCTGAGCAGGTATTCCATTGTCTGAACCATGTCCCCAGCCCTTTTTGTTTTGGTTATTTTTGAGATAGAATCTGACATTTATGCCCTGGCTGGGCTAAACTACAATCCTACTATTTATGCATCCTGTGTATATGAGATAACAGGCATTCATCATCATGTCTAGCTTTTTTGCAGGCTAGAACGTCAGTCCTCCAGATCTCTGTCTCCCAAGTAGCTAGAATTACAGATGTGAGCCCCATCATCCAGCGATCAGTAGTTTTCCCTTCTAATTTACATTTAAAACAATTTGTTTTAAGTAGTTTTAAATATGGTATTACCTCTATTATCTATTTTTTGAGCTCCTTTCCTTTAATAGTACAAGTTATGTCAGAGCTTCTAGGAAACTTAAGATACTGCAGATGTTTTGCTTAAACAAGTTGCTTCAGTTCACTGGACATACCTTTCTGTGGGTGTTAGTTATTTGTGTGTGTGTGTGTGTGTGTGTGTGGTACTGGGATTTGAATTCAGGGCCTTAATTTTTGCTAGATAGGCACTCTGTCACTTGAGCCACTCCATCAGCTCTATGAGTATTATTTTTTAAACGTTCTTAATTATATTCCTAATATAAAAATAGTGTGAATGATTGCTAAACATACGTAAATCAGAGAAAAGGTGAAAAATCATTGCATTTCTACTCTGTAACCAGTAATTGCTTTCATAAAAGCATTTTAATATACTTTCTTAGTTTTTTTAAGTCTACACACAATTTTCCCTGTTTTTTCCTCTTTTATGTAACTTTTCCATATTAAAAAGGTGTTGTATTCTCCAGCCTTCATAATTACCTGTTGTGAAGAATGCCTTGTATTCTACCCTGTGGATATTGGACAGTTTGCCTGATAGCATTCATCCTGTCATTTGAGGTTTAGTTATTTTTGAATTTATCACAGTCATTGTTTTATACATTATAGTTTTTTTCTCCCCATATTTAGGGTTGTTTTTGTAGGTTAGATATGGAGAGCTAGAATTACTGGGACAAAAAGAGTTTTGGTTCTTGATTCAGTATTGTCACAGTACTTTCCAGAAAGATTATACCAATTTACATTATCACCGTACTGTCTGAGAGTTCCATTTTACCTTTCAATCAGGATTAAGAAATACATAATTTATGTGAGATTTTGCAGGTTTAATAGTCCCTTATTTTAATTTACAGCTGGACTTTATTAATTATATTGTTTTATGCTTCTTGTTTTCTTTTGTAAATTACTTTAATTCTTTAAAGTATTGTGTATATATATATATATTTTTTTTTTTTTTTTTTTTGAAGTACTAGGGTTTGAACTTAGGGCTTCTTGCTTGCTAGGCAAGTGCTGTACCATTTGAGCCATGCCTGTACCCCAGTATTAAATTTTTTTTCCAGATTTTTTTCCCCCATTTGTCATTTACTATTTATTTTCAGCATTCTTTGATTCATTTTTATGTGAATAAAATTTATTGAACTTATTTCTTTGTGCTCTCTATCATGTTTATCTTTTTAAAAACCTTAGTTATTTGAATATTTTATTTTGAATTTACTTACTGTTTTAGTGCTGGGTAAGGCAGCCTTTTCTATTTGAAGAGAATTAAGTTCTAATGTCATAAGACATTTACTGTTTATTGTGAGTTAACTTTTGTGTATGATGCTACTAACATGTATCCTTAGCAGTGGAAAAAATAGTGATTTAAGTAATTTTTCTGTGTTCTGTATTGAGATGAAGGGTCCCATGTAAGGAAAACTGTTAAACTCTAAATCTTTTTGGGAATTGTTAACAAATTATCCAAACCAATTGGATAATTTTACATGACAAAATTGCGATAAAATCATACAACAGGCATAAAATATTTAGTGTGGTTCTTAGTACGTAGTAAGTAATTAATTTTTCTTACTAAATTTTTCTAATTGGATAGATATAGTTGAGGATTTTCTTTTTTGATCTGGACCTAATTTAACTATGTAAACATTCACCATGGTTGAATATCTTTGTTTAATTTTCTGTCCTCTTGATCTTTATTTTCCAGGTATTAACATTTTTTTTCTGATGTATTCTTTCAAATGAATTTTAGAGTCATTTTATCAGGCTCTGAGAGTCCCAGTGGGATTTTTACTGGAATTACATAAAATTATTCACTTAGAGAAAAAAATGGTTATGTTTGCAATAGTTAACCTAACCAAACCTAGATGATAGTTTCTTTTTGTAGTTACTCAAATTTTCTCATACACTGTTTTGTAGTGCTTCTTCACCTGTGAAAAATTACATTATTCTTAGATATTATACATTTTGTCACTATTATAAGTGGCCTCGTTTTTCCTCATATTTTTAGTGGTTATTGGTGATATTTTGAAGTTCTTTAAAATTTTTAATGTATGTTCCCTAAGAATACTACCTTCTTTTTTTCCATATTAATATTTCTGTTTCATTTTTTTCTGCTTGATAGAACATTTGAAACAGTGCTAAGTAACTGATAAATAGCATTCTTATTTTGGTCTTTATGTTAAAGGGATTGTTCTTCATGTCTTAAGTATAATGTGGCTATTGATTTAAGATATACGTACTTTTCTTTCTCCCTAGTGCTGAGATTACAGGTGTGTACCTCCTTGATTGGCTGTTAAAATGTTTTTTAATGAAACATTTAAAGTAGGGCAGTAGGCATCATTATTTTGAAAGTGTTTTTTAACCACTGAATTCTTAGATTTTATTGGTCCTTTACCCCATCTCCTGCTTTTTCCTCCACTTTTTTGGTCATCCTTGTTACTATTCTGATGGTAATCTTCCTTCCTATTAAAACCAAAGCTCTTTCCTTGTTTCATGCAGTGTAGTTCTAGCCTCTTTGAATCTCTGACATAAAACGAATGCCCATGTTCTTAGGGTATCACTTTAGTCTAAATTCATTATCAAACCACAGAGATATTTTGTTTCCTGAGAGATTTCAGTTCTGTTAATAACCTTTTTCCTACCTCATTACTTTACCTTTTAGGGCTGTGTTGAATAAATTTTTAAAAAGTGCAGACCTGTACACACAGTGAATATACGTAGGCTTTCTTTCCCCTCTCCATCACTCTTGGCTACTTAACTCCTGTTAGGGTAATACGTTTATAGCAGCTAAATCAATTTGTCTATAATGTGTGGTTGACATTGTCTCTGTTTTCTTAAAATAAGTGTTTCAGAGATTCCTTCATATTGCTAAGAGTCATGGAGTGATTTAAAAATTAAAGCTTGTTTTTATGTGTTAAAAAAGCTTATTTTTGGACCTGGGAGCATAGCTCAGTGGTAGAGTGCTTATCTACCATGTGCAAGGCTCTGGATTCAATTCCTGGCATTGCCTTAGTAAACAAAAACTTCTGGGTGCTGGTGGCTCATGCCTGTAATCCTAGCTACCCAGGAGGCAGAGATTATGAGGATCACAGTTGGAAGCCAGCCTGGGCAAATAGTTTGCGAGACCCTTTTTCAAAAAACCCTTCACCAGAAAAGGGCTGGTGGAGTAGCTCAAGGTGTAGGCCCTGAGTTCAAGCTCCAGTACTGCAAAAAAAAAAAAAAAAAAAGACCAAAAAACTGAAAAATCAAAAGTTTAAAAAAGGCTTGCATTTTACTTGTTTTGCAGAAGATTAATTGTTAAAGCCAGTATGGCTACAGGAGGAGGTCCTTTTGAAGAAAGCATGAATGATCAGGATTTACCAAACTGGAGCAATGAGAATGTCGATGACCGACTGAACAATATGGTATGATGTCTTACTACGATGGTGTGTTGTTGTCTAATAAAGTTTAAATGCAGGTTTTCCTTTACCAAATCTAACTCACTGAAACTCTTTGTACACACTTCTGGCAAATATATTAAGAAACCCTGGACTATTTATATTATTAATGAAGTTCAGACACTTTGGTTGTGGATAACAGAAATCGACTTGATCTCCCTTAAACTAAAAAGGAAATTACAAGAATATAAAGATGTTTCATGAAGTACATATTAAAGGAATATAGCTGAGTTTTAGGAAGGACCTGAGAAAGGAACTAGAAAGTTGTCAGAAATCACTTTTTCTCTGCTGGACTCTGCTTCTGAGTACCTCTGTTTAATTTGGCTCTCTCTTCACAGATTACCTCTCTCCTTTGGTCCATGTGGTTGCCCTTTCATTCTAAACTTTTCAGTATGGCTGCAATTACAGACTGACTTATTTATCTCTTAGTTCCAAATTGAAAATTTAAAGTGCGATTACAACAATTTGGATTGAATGTGTGTTTCTTTTTCAGTCATCTGTGACCCAGAAGGGGTGGGGTAAGTAGTATAAAAGGTTAGCAGAAATTAACGTGGATTGAGGTAGAGGGACAGTTCATAGGGAGACGTGTTTTGTTAAAAATGAGAAAGGTACCCCTAATGGTTTTATAAGGAGGGAGCTTATTGGTGTTTTTGTTGAATGTGTTAGATTACATAGGTATGGTTCAGTGAATAAAAATATTTTCAAGTTAAAATATTAAGGATCTTTAGCATTCTGTATTGAATATTATCTTGTACATTTTTGTCTATAAAAATAACAATAGGGGTGGTGGGTGTAAGGGTAATCCCTGCACCTGGGGGCAGAGATTGGTGGAAGGATTGTGGCTCAAGGCCAGCATAGGCAAAAAGTTAGCAAGACCCCATCTTGATCGAACCAGGTGTGGTGGTGCATGTCTATAGTCCCAACTATGGAGGAACCCTATTTTGAAGGTTAGCTATGTTAGAGGTAGGAAACTGAGACTTGCTATGGAAAGTTGGGTACATTGCCTAGAGTCGCATGATGGAGAGTTTCTTTAGAATCTAGCTTGATTGTAGAGCTGTCCTCTTAACCACACATACACTTTAAAGGAGGCCAGTAAAAGTATCTTTAGTTTACTTCTCTATTTAGTTTATAAATAGAAAAGGTCAATTTTATTTATTTTTTTGAGACAGTGTCTTGCTATGTAACCCAGGTTGATCTTGCACTCCAGATCCTCCTGCCTCAGCCTCCTGAGTGCTGGGATTACAGATGTGTACACTGTGGCCAGGTGGAAAGAACACTTTTTAAATAGGCTTTTGAACCAGGCATGTACCACATGCCTGCATTCCCAGCACTTGAGGGCTGAGACAGGAGGATCAAGAGTTCCAGACCAGTCTGGGGTACAGAGTAAGACCCTGTCTCAAAAATAAGGAAAGAAAGAAAAAAATAAATACAGCTTTTGAAAACATTTAATTGGTTGTAAGGCTGGGACTTGGGGATTTATATTTGTTGATGACCTACAATAGGAAAGCAATCTATTGCTTGAAGATTAGGCTGTGAAATTAGAATAGACATAATGAGGGAAAAACAGGGTTAGTAGAATTAAATGTTTCTAAGAGAGCATGTTTATGTGAAAAATGTTATTTTAATCTTAAGACTCATTTAAGTTTTTAAACATGTCAAACTATCTTCTAGTTTGATACAGGCCAGATTAACTTTTGCTTTTGCTTTTTTAAAGGATTGGGGTGGCCAACAGAAGAAGGCAAATAGATCCTCATCAGAAAAGAATAAGAAAAAATTTGGTGTAGAAAGTGACAAAAGGGTAACTAATGATATTTCTCCGGAGTCATCACCAGGAGTTGGAAGGCGAAGAACAAAGACTCCACATACATTTCCACACGGTAGATACATGGCTCAGATGTCTGTCCCAGAGCAAGCAGAGTTAGAGAAACTTAAACAGCGGATAAATTTCAGTGATTTAGATCAGGTTTGTGAATTATTTTAAAAATCAAGTTATGACTGTGGGAAAATTTGAAATGGATTAAATAATTTGTCTTAAGAATAAAAGATTGAGCTGTTTATTTACTCTTTAATTTCCATACATGTGGAAAGAATTTTTAATCGATGATAGTATTGTGTTCTTTGGAGGGAAACAAAATTTTATTTATAAACTTGTCAAAGACCTGTCTTTCTGGGCTTTGTTATAATTCTAATAACTAAAATTATTTCATTATGAAACTAAATTTTGCATATTACTAACTGAATAAAACTTTCTAAGTTTAATGTATTTGTTGGGTAAGTGTGGTTTATGCTGGATTTTCTAAACATTAGAGTAAAATGGATTTGTATTTGTAATCATTGAAATCTAAAAGCAAATAGAAAAGATAATGAACTCTAGGTCAGTATTTTACGTTCCGATCTATAGTTTACAGAGATAAAGAGGTTTCCAAGTGTATAGAGAATGTATTCAGGTCTAATACGACGATGATATAAATGACCACATATGTAGCAGTTATTGAATACTTAACTGCCAGGTACTAAACTGATTTTTAATTTGTATAGCTGGGGATTGAACCCAGGGCTTTACACATGCTAGGCAAACACTCTAACTCTGAGCTATATCCCCAAATCTGAACTGAGAATGTTTTTAGACAGTGCTTCATACAGACAAATTTTTATGCTGATGTCATATTAACATTGATTCATTGGGTTCAAAGCCCATATGAATTATGTAAGCAAGTAACAAATAGCAGTGGTCTGTAATCCTAGTATATCACTTAAATGAGTCTTGTTCATATTTATCAGTTGAATTGTCTCAACAAAATGAGGATTAGGGAGTACTAATCTAATTTTAATTTATTTTTTCAAGTAAAAGAATCTGTTAAATCATATTACAAAGCTGTGTATACTTCATATCTGATGGTGAAACTGAGAACATTAAGTTTTTAAAAAATGTTAAGAGATTAATGTTTGTGTGATTTGGTTTTTTTTTTAATATGTAGAGAAGCATTGGAAGTGATTCTCAAGGTAGAGCAACAGCTGCTAACAACAAACGTCAGCTTAGTGAAAACCGAAAGCCCTTCAACTTTTTGCCTATGCAGATTAATACTAATAAGAGCAAAGATGCTGCTACAAGTCTTCAAAAAAGAGAAGTGATTGGATCAACACAGTGTAAAGAGTTGTTTGCTTCTGCTTTAAGTAATGACCTTTTGCAAAACTGTCAAGTCTCTGAAGAAGATGGGAGAGGAGAGCCTGCAATGGAGAGCAGCCAGGTAATAAAATGTGTTTCTTTTGTTTGTTGCTTTACAAACCTCAAAGTATAAACATTAAGGTTTAAAAAATTATATTAGGTTATGCACATTGGAATTTTAGTTAAGTAGAATTATTTACTAACCCTGTTTTAAATAAGTCTACAACATTTATTTATTTAAAAGTAGAATAGAAACTTTTTCCCAAATGATTAGTGAAATGGCATATTCAGTTTAATTAAGGCTTTTTTATTTGCCAAATACTGTATCACTAATTTTTAGTAAAGGGGATGGAAGCAATGTAGTTAATAGCTATATATACATACATTTTTTTTTTTTTTTTTTAGCAGTACTGGGATTTTGAACTCAGGGCTTTCACTTGATAGACAGGCATTCTGCTTCTTGAGCCAAGCCTCCAGCCTGATTTTTGTAAGAATTTTTTTGAAAGACTGATACATTCTTTTGAAAAGTACTTTCAAAAGTATTTTTAATACTGCTTATTTATAAGGAGATAAAAACATTAGAAGGAAAACTCATGTAAATAATTGGTGTGCAGTTTGTTTTGTAAATAAAATCTTCCAGCTAAGCTAAAATTTGGAAATTTATTTTCAAATTGAAGATTTTAGTATTGCTAGTTATGTTTTGATTAAAACCTAAGTTTGATTCACTTTTTTTATATGTGTAAATTTTAATGATAAACCTAGATGTACCTTTGATTATATTCTCTTTGAAATAAAAATATGTTAAATTGTAATGGAGTTAATTAATGTTCAGTTTTACATGTGTACTGTCATGCGTTTTATTTTTAATATTTGTCTGCAGATTGTAAGCAGGCTTGTTCAAATTCGTGACTATATTACTAAAGCTAGTTCCATGCGAGAAGATCTAGTGGAGAAAAATGAAAGATCTGCTAATGTTGAGCGCCTTACTCATCTAATAGATCATCTAAAAGAACAAGAAAAGTCATATATGAAATTTCTCCAAAAAATTCTTGTAAGTTTTGAACCTTTCAAAATAAGATACTGAGTTATTTTTGTAATTTATCAGTGTGTATACAATGATGATATTCTGATAGCATTCCAGAGGAGTTAACGTATTTTCAAAAAATCGTGCCATCTGTTATAACAGTTTATTGCCCTTTTTAATAGTTGTATGATTTATACCACTAAAATATTTCAGGCTAGAGAAAATGAGGAGGAGGATGTTCGGACTATAGATTCAGCTGTGAGATCTGGTTCTGTAGCTGAGAGCACATCGCTAAACATAGATGTGCAGTCTGAGGCTTCAGATACCACGGTAAGCGGCTTTTTGGTAATTAAAGTGCTGGAAATGAAGATTTTAAACTTTCCCCCCATTTTTCAAAATGATATTTTATAGGCATTCCTTAATGAAAAGTGTATTCCAGGGAAGAAATCCTCAAATTGTTAATGCTGTGTATATTTCTTAAACATTGAAGCTTAAAAGTGTCATTTATTAACATTAAAAATAGGTTTAATGGTTGAGCCGAAAATCTACTAGTAATTTCTGAACCTCAGTTTGTTTTGTTCAGAACAGCCTTCCTAATTTTAAGAAACAGTGGGAAACTTTAAACTGTGAATATATGGGTTATTAGTAATCACTAATGCAACTAATGACTACTAAGCACCTAGTCTTCTGGAAAAGTGTCCATGTTCATTTGCCCGTGAGGACTCATTTTAAGTGTAGTTTCATTTTTCAGGCTCTAGTCTAGTATTATAGCAAAACCAGATAACAGAGAAGTTGAAATAAAGACAAACAGAACAGGTTAGCATTTATATTATTATTTACTAACAGTAACAAAAATACTGTAATTTCTGATTGACATGCAATTTATAAAAATACTGTCCTTTGGAAAAATAATAATATACAGATCTTTTGACAAAGAAAAGACTTAGCAGAAGACTTAGTTCGTGGAAGTTAATGTGCTTCAAAACAATTTCTGCTTTTAAGCATTTTTATTTTAACAGATGTGTGCCTATAATCATGCATTAGTAAACTTTGACACCTGTTACCAATAAGGCTTTTCTTTTGAAAGGATAACCAAATATGTCTGTTTAGTTTTTGAGGTATGTTCCAAAATATCATTCAGCATTAGGAATTTGAGGATTTGTTTCCTTTTAATAGTTTCCTATGTAGTTTCTTATCTGTTTCCCTTCTGTTCTCTGCCCTTCCTAGTTTGAAGAGGAAATTTGAATTTTTTTCTGTACCTTATTTTACCGGAAAATACTCAGGAGGGATTGATCCAAACAGTTGTTGAGAAATGGATTCTCCTTGGGGAAATTGTTTTCTATTTACAGTGATACTGGGAATATAATTGCTTATATATCAGCAGAAATGGAAGGGGCAATGTGGGTAAAGGAATTTGTTAGTGAGGAATCGAAAATGATGTAGTTGATTGTTACGATTTTGTACTGGAACCTAAAGTGTACATGATGATGAGAATTTCTTTTATAATAACAAAGTACTGACGGGGAGGTTCATTAATACGTAGCAGAATAAATGTTAAAATGTTTTAGCAGGGTTGTTTTATAGCATGGAAATTGTCATGGGTTTGATATTTGCTTAATTATAATAAGCAAAAGTTAGTCTCTAGAAACTTAAATGTTTGATTAAATTTATTGCCACTTGGGGGTGGATTAATTTTTTTAAAAAGATGGACTGAGAAAATTTTGTACTTATTTACAAGGCTGGCTTATATGTTAAACAGGAATTTGTGTTAAGAAATTAATATGCTACACTATTTAATAAAGGAAGCATCTTTTAGTCTGAGAATTCGGCCCTGCATTGAGGACAAACTAGGGAATTCAGCTTCACAAGAACAGGTTTCAGACATTGACGTTACAACAAGTCCAAAAGGGAAAGGTGACAGACCTCCTCAGAATGACAGGGAACTGACACCTAATAGGAAATATAGCCGAGAACATGGAATTCCCTCAAAGGTATACTTCACAATATTAACTTGGGAAGTCTTTAAACGAGTACCTCTTTTTTCATATTTATCTTCCTTGTTTCTTTTCTGTTACTATTACTCTTTAAAACTATGAACATGGTTAGTTATACTATAATTTGCTTTAGTAAAATGCCGTCCCTTAGTGTTTTTATTTTTTTCTACTTTTATGTATACCTCTCTATGGATTATATGTGGCATCTGATTTTAATTTACATTAGTAAAGAAATTGAAACATAATTTGGTTTCATTTTTACTGTTGAAGGCTCTATTAAACTTAGGCCATCAGTCAGTTGCCTTTTGTATCTGATACTAGCATTCCATACATTAAGATGATACTTTTAATTGTCTTATTTCCTGTGGTCATTTATTTAAGAAAAAGAAAATAGAGCATTTGTTAACTGTTCCTAAATTTGTAAGAAAAAATACTTGTATATTGTTTTTGTTTTATATTTATGTTGCTGCTGGAAATCCTTCCCATTGTTTTTTAGAATAACATTCAATTATCCAGTTGACTTGTTGGTTAATATTTTTGCTGAGTTGAGTGTTCTTCTAAGTTTCCATGATTTGCCTAAAGGCATTTGAGTATAAGTTTAAGGAACACTGTTTATGTACTTCCACTTAAAACAATTTGGACTAAAATAGCCTTTGTTAAAAATGTTATGTTCTTTTAACAAGTGGTAAAGTACTGTTTTAATAATTGAGGGTAGATAAGAGTAACATCATAAGTTGCATTACTAGTTTATTACCAAGGAACGTTCTTTCTTTTTTATTTTGTATATAGTCTATATTTTGTTTTTATCACTGTTTTAAAATGACAAAACTTAACCTTTAGCTATTTTGGCAGTTTGTGGGGTTTTTTATTGTTGTTGTTTTTGTTTGTTTTTTCTGGCTTCCACAAGAGTTTGAAGACACAGTTTAAAATCAGTTCTGAGAATTTTAATGATGTAAAGGGCTCAACAAATATACCCCACTTCACCAGAAAAATAGTTGATTATTTTTTAAAGTTAGTTATGTGAGCTACTATAGGTATCCCTTGGTCCTCTTTTAAGCCTTTTTTTTTTCAGTACAGGGGGTTGAGCTCAGTGCTTGCTAGGCAGCTCTACCACTTGAGCCACTCTGCCAGCCCTCTAAAAGGCTTCGTTTTAGTTGCTGCCACATTTTTTCCCTAATGTGTTACATTAGCTTTATTTAAAAAACCCTGTTTTTAAGTTTCTTTGAAAAATACTCTTCCAAATGAGTATTATTCTTTCTTGAACGTGATTGGAGTTTATTACAGTTTGACTTTCTTTAGTCTTGATTATTTAGGTCATCCTTTTTTAGGACTCAATTCAAAAAACAATTTTAAATTTTTTAGGAAAAAAATTATAATTCCCACCACTTGACTTTTTTCTCTGCTATGTGAAATCTGTCATCCTCACTACTCCTTCCCCAATCTCTCCTTAGAATCCTTTCAAAATGTCTTTCTGTTTGAAGAACAGGAAGACAAACAAACAAACAAAAGGCTAAGGGCTTTCCTGAGATTCAGAGCAAAAACATCCTGCTGAGTTGTAGCTCCATATGCAGTGATTAGTATTCTAGTGATACCTGCAAAGGCAGATTCCATTCTATGGAGTATTTTATAGACATAATGACGTTCTGTGTCATTTTACAAAAGAAGCCTTGTGGAGAAATTCCCAGGCCCTCATGGTTATTTTGCTATTTTCATTATTTCTAATTATTTCATGTGAGCTAGCTTAGTCTCTTAAACCAGCTATCCCTCTTTAGAGATAGTATCCAAGCACATATTGTAGGGGCAGATAGTATAATGTAAAAAACACTGAACAAGAGACTAGGAATATGGCTTGCCTGATTTTGACACTGGATAAATTTCAGCTTTATTTTTTGGGTGTCTGAGTAATTAGATGAACCCCAGTTGAGTGGAGGAAAACAAGACTTAGGGTTGTCTGAAGCTTCACTGTAAATGTGCAGCTTAAGATATGCTTGCGGGTTGTTTTTTTTTTTTAAATATGTAAACTAAAAATGTACTTGATGGAAGATGACTCAGAAAACTTTGTGTTTGAAGAATGAGTGTAATCCTGGTTTCCTTTTGGGATTTGTATTCCAAGAAACATCTTCTGGGCATGTTCTTTTTCCTAGATATTCTGATTTCCATTTTCTCATCTTCCATTTATACTTGATCACAGCCTCTACCCCCTTCCTTGGCTCAGCATTTCTAATGTAAAACCGAAATATCATTTATAAGGATGCAAAAGTTATTAAGCAGTAATAAACCTCCACTACACTTATTTCATCTTAACTTTGAGTAGTGCTTCACTCTGTGTCATGTGCTTTTTTGTTCACTTACTAATTTTTTTAATTTCCAAGTCACAATGTAAAATGTTGTCATGGTTACATTCACAATGCTGATGAGTTCTTGGGGAACTTGCAAAGCGAAGAGGCTTTACGAAGTACTGGTGAGGGATGTCACCCAGAGGGAAGCTTCTCTTGAGCCATCTGCTTTCTCCATAATTTCTCCAGAAATCAAATGTGCATAGGGAAAGTAGATCAGTGCATTTTTACTTTCAGAAGAAGTCATTGAACTTCTTTATTCATGTTGGTAATATTAGGGGGGGACATCACTCATTTAAAATTTTATAATCCAAATAGAAATTTATTAACAGTGCATATTTTAAATTGGTTATGTACAACAAAGAGAAAAATTTATGTAGATGGATAAAATCATAGAACGTTTAAATTTGAAAATTTTTCATAGTAAAACAGTGATGAGAGATACCATTGTGGCTTATATTTCATGCATAACTTGGCTTATAATTTATTGTATTCGGGTTGTATTTATATTTTTGCTTGGCTTGTCAAGCCACTTTGTGTGTGTGTGTGCCACTGGAGTTTGAACTTAGCCTTATGCTTGCTAGGCAAGTGCTCTTACTGCTTGAGCCACTCTGCCAGTCTCAGGTCACCTTTTTTTTTTTTTTTTTCCCAGTACTGGGGCTTGAGCTCAGAGACTACACCTTGAGCCACTCCACCAGCCTGTTTTTGTGAAGGGTATTTTCGAGATAGGGTCTCAAGAACTATTTGCCCTGGGCTGACTTCGAACCATGATTCTCCTGATCTCTGCCTCCTGAGTAGCTAGGATTACAGGTGTGAGCCACTGGCATCCAGCCACATTTTGAATAGTTTTAAGATTTAACATTTAATATTTGGTCTTGACTTTTAGGCAGGGTGATAAGTTCTTAGCTTTTTTGGAAATTTTTGAGTACTTCTGTGTCCTCAGACAGCTGAATGGGTATAATTTAGGAATAAAAAAATAGTAGTGACATTTGTGATACAAAGCGTGAAATTTTCTGTTCTGTGCTTAATAATGTGATGCAATTAAACTGAAACCTCTTTGTTTAAGATTGTCAAACAACAAATGATTTTTAAAATTTCTGTCCTTGATTAGATGTTAGGGAGTTTATATTCTGGTATTTCTTTTGTTGGTTTTTCTTGTTTTGAGTTTTTAACATCACTTCTGCCTGGTCTTTTTTAAGAGCAACTTTGAGAGCATTAACACAGTGTAATCTTCTACCTCTCTGTAAGGCATGGCTCCTCCATTCTTTTGTATGTAATGTGTGGCTCCTTTTGCCCTCTTAGACTTTGTGTCTTCTGATTTGTATGTCTTTTTCCTTCCTCTTCATTATAAGCCATTGCTTATTGTCTTTGACTATAAAATTACCTAACTTTTAACTATATCTAGGGTTGTGTATATTTAATGCAAACATTATGTATGTATGTATGTATGTGTGGCAGTTGAAATGGGAACATGGATTTTAACAGTAAGATATCTAAGTATTGTTGGTCTTATTTTCCAGGCCAGAGATCCTCAACAGGAGCCTATGGAAGAGATAGAAAATTTGAAGAAACAACATGATTTATTAAAAAGAATGTTACAACAGCAGGAGCAACTTCGAGCTCTACAGGGTCGACAGGCTGCTCTTCTGGCTTTGCAACATAAAGCAGAGCAAGCTATAGCTGTGATGGATGATTCTGGTATGCCACAGTCTTAGAATTTTTTTTTTATAAGCAAGGCTCAATGAATAACTATATTGCAAATTGGATGCTGTTATATAATCAGATTGTGATTGTTCACTACTTTAGACACCTGCATATGAGGCTTACTCTGTCCTTGCTTTTCTCTGGTTATGCAGAAAAGGTTGCAGGGACAAGTCCTGGCGATCATACTGTACCGTGCAGACAGACAGCTCGCTCTCCTTTTCATCAGAGAGTACCCTTAAGAGGTAAAAAGGACAGGTCATAGTTCTGTTTGTGTATCTCAGAGTGATAGGGCTCTTGATACTTTTTTTCTAAATTCAGCTAGAATTATCACTCTTTGCTTCCTGCTAAGAATGGTTAAAAACCTTAAGTGGGCTGGGTGTGGTGATACACACTAGGAATCCCAGCACTCAAGAGGCTAAAGTAGGAAGATTTGAGAATTCGAGGCAGCTTAGGCTACATGATGGGACCCTGTCTCAAAAAAAGCAGGAGTGGGAGAGAGGCTGGTAATTTAACTGAGTGGTAGAGTGCTTGCTTACATGAGGGTCTGGGTTCAGTCCCCAGCACCAGGGGATGGGGGGACCTTAAGTGAGGTAGTGAATAAATATATAGAACATCATTAGCATTCAATATTAGTAGTTCTGTATGTCCTTTGTGTATTAAGTTTTATATACTAGCTCTTTTGATCTGAGTCATATTTTGTTTTTTCTAGGGCTCAGAAATGTTCATTTCTTCTTCCTTCATACCCATGTAACATTTAGATGAAAATTATATTGAATTGTTTAGTATTGGAGTCTAATTTTATAGTTTGTCTTACTACTTTCAAACCTTTTTAATTTTTAATAAGTTAAAAAGTAACATCGTTACTTACTAAAACTCAATAAGGGTTAAGGATTCGTTTTATTTTTAGTTGACAAAATAAGAATTGTGTGTAGTTATGAGGTACAAAGTGATAGGAATTTATGGCCTGCTCTTCAGGGGCCAATTTATATTTTCTCATAGTCTATCCCTGTCTTTACATTCTAATAGTAATTTGTCTTGTTTGAGCACCCAGTTTTTGCCACTGAGTCCATTTGTTACTTAACTTACCCTGCTGTCCAAACCTAGCCTACTTTTAGCACTATAATATCTTTTTTAATTTTATGTTTTCGTAAGAAACCTTACGACTTTCACCTAACTTTCTCTTAAGTGGGTTGTGGTGGTGCAGGCTTGTAAATTCCAGCACTCAAGAGGCTGAGGCAAGAGAATCACCAGTTCAAGGCCAGCCTGAGTTACATAGTGAGTTCCAGGCTGTCCTGGGCTGTATATTGAGACACTACCAAAAAAAAACCAGCACTTACTATTTTGTAACAGTTATGTAGTTATGTATAGTAGTATTTACGCAGCTTATTATCCCCATTTTCTCTTACAAAGTCCAAAGTATCGTTAGCTTTTATATTCATACTTAGGAAATAGATAATTTAGGATAAATAAGTGTTTTAACACTAGTTTGGTTAAGGACCAATCTTTTTAATATTCTTCAGAGTTGGAGTATCATATCTAAAAGACTCTAATAGTTTCCTAATCTCAAATGTTTATATTTACATCATCTCATTTGATCATCATACAATTATAGGTTAATACCCAAAGTTTTTATTCTTAATCCAGTTTTATAGAGAAGGAACTCAAAGCACAGAATTTCTGACTTGCTTAGGCTAATACAGAATTTTCATAGAATCAAATCCCTCCGAATTTTAGATCAGGGATCTTTGTATTTCTAAATGTGAACTTTTATTTCTTTTAATACACACATATATATACGTAAATATATAGAATCATGAGTCAGGGAATAAGAGTAGAATGAACAGGAGTTTGAATTTGGATTTATTTTGCATACTACTTCAAAAAGGATTGTGTCTTAGTGTTAAAACATTTGCTCCTGTGTTTATGAAGTTTTTCAAGGGAATACTGATGAAAAGCCAGGATTATAGTCTTTAATGTTTTGGTGAGAGATGGTGTAACTATTACAGGAAAGCATGCTCCTTTCACTATTTAGCAAGTTGTGTATAACTTACCTGAACTGTAATTTCTGTCTTATCCACAAAATGTTTGGACTAGATATGTGGAATCCTGTCAGCCCTGAAATTCTAATTTTTCAGCAGGAAACGATGATATTTTCCTTTAAAACAGAAGCAGTTTAGAGCCAGTGTCTCTTTTAAAGCTGGAAAGTTAAGAGTGAGGATAAAGATGAGGTGTCTGGGTAGTAAAGTAGTAACTGTTATCAAAATTTTCATCAAAAAACTGCTTTAGGAACATGAGGACTTTTCTTTTTTTAATGAAGAAGATAAAATCCATGGTCTTTAAGTAGGATTTGTGTCACAAGAAACCACTTCAATAAAATTATCTGTTCTACTTCAGGGATAGCAAGCTATGGCTAGCTGGATTTGGCTTCCTTCCTGAAACAAAAGTTTGATGGAATGTAGCCATTCACATTTGTTTATATGCTGTTAATGGTGGTTTTTGCCCTAGAACAGCAGAGTTGGGCAGTCAAGACAAAAACTGTATTTCATAGAAAGTCTAATTAATTTGCTTATCTGTACCTTTAAGATTAAAGTTTGCCATCCTCTATAATACAACATTGATTTTGTTCAAGAAGGTAGAGATTGAGACATGTCAGAATCAGGTATTCCTTTTTAGGCTACCACTTTACCCGCCATACCCTCAACCTAAACAAACTGATAGACCTGCTCCTTTCCTAATCCACTGAGTCAAGTTTATTAATTGGATGTAATACTTTTCCACCTTATGTTGAGATAGAAAAAAATGAGACACAATTCCAGAGTTTTGCAGTTGTCTGTTTTTAGAGTAGATGAAAACATCTAATAAAATGATTTGCTGACAGAGGCATAAGAGGGTTTAACTAGTTTCAGATTGTTAGGTCGAGCTTTTTTGGTCTTCAGAATTTATGGTTAGCTTCTCAGAAGCTTATTTATGTTAATGAATAGTTGTTAATTTTCTTCCCAGTTGTTGCAGAAACTACAGGTAGCTTATCTGGAGTCAGTATCACCTCTGAACTAAATGAAGAATTAAATGATTTAATTCAACGGTTTCATAATCAACTTCGTGATTCTCAGGTAACTTAATGTTTTTGGTATGGTAGAGTTTAAAATCACATTAATTTAGAACAGTAGTTCTCAAACTTTAGTAAGCATAAATATTAGCAGACATGATTGTTAAAAAATTGATCCATGTAGTCCCTCTACCTCCAGAATTGATGTGGGTGGACTTCTCCCCATATGATTCCACTGCTGATGTTCTGGGGACTATACTTGAGAAACACTAAATTAGAGGAATATCTACTTAGAATGCAATGATTACTGAAATTTCTTTTTATGTGCTATTAGATAATACGTTCTTTTTTTCCTCTAGAAGACAAGATAGTCACATCACTTAAGACTTAAGTTTAAGTCTGTGCTCATGTAATATTTTATTTTATTAACAGTTTTGAAATGTCCAGGCAGGCCTCAAACTCTTGATTCTCCTGCCTCAGCCTTCTAAGTTCTGGGATTACAGGGGTGCACAAGCATAGTTCTTAAGTTTAATTTGAGAGTTAATAAGTGTTACTATTTGATGAACTTTGTAAATATTTATATAGATGCAAGTCTTACATATGGTAAGAAAAGGTAAATAAATACCACTTCATTACAAATTGAGTATGATTGAAGATGTAGTATCTCTTGTCTTGTTGCTGAACAAGTGAAAATAAAAGAATATGACCTAATCACCTTGGAGAGTTACTTAGCAATATTTAAAAAATTTTTTTTCTAGGGACCCCTATCACAGTTTATGCTAAAGAAACTTAGATGTTTAAAAGGAGATAGGTATAAGAATGTTCACAGCAACATTGTGTTAGTAGTAAAACACCTGAAACAAATGTCCATGAATTAATAAATTACAACACAGAGTGCAGCTTTACATTACAGTTACAGTAATGAGCCAGTGAATGAAAACTAAGTAGGGTATTGCTTACTTTATGTTTAAAAGGATAGTTTGTTTGTTTGTTTTTTTATTGATACATACACAGATGTCACAAAATAAAAATATGTTTCAGAATAATAGCTAACCTAATGCCAAATTGTGTTTACATCTATAAAAAGTAATGGGATTGGGTACAGAGCTTTGCTCTATCTTTATATCTCATATTTTTCTTTAAAACAATAAAAAGAATGGATACTAATGTGGGAAAATGTTAAAATTTGACAAAGCTCCGTGGTAATTGTGATTCCCTAAGCCTTAGTGCATTCTTGAAATGCTTCATAATATACACACACATATAAATTTTTTTGGTGGTCCTAGGAGTTCAACTTAGAGAGAAACTGCTCTACCACTTGAGCTACATCCTTAGTCCTTTTCCTTTTCCTGTTTATTTTTCATATAGGATCTCTCTTTTTTTTTTTTTTTTTTGGCCTGGCTTGGATTCAGCTGCAACCCTTCCTATCTGTCTCCTGAGTGAATGGGATTGCATGCATCACCACTCCTTACTTGTTTTTTTGAGATAGGGTGTTGCTAATGTTTGCTCAGGCTGGCCTTGAACCATGATTCTCCTGTCTCCACCTCCCAAGTAGCAGGGATTACAGACGTGTGCCATCATGCCCAGCAGTTATTTCCTGCAACAGTTTTTTTTTGGGGGAGGAGGTTGGGACCTGGGAATGAAGTGTTCTACCACTTGAGTCACGGTCTCCCCTACCTCCATCCTTTATATATATATTTTAAAGTAGAGAAACATAGGACAGAAGTAGTACGAAGGATAGGTGCTGGTATCTCATTCCTATAATCACTACTACTCAGGAGGCAGAGGTCAGGAGGATCGTGGTTCAAAGCCAGTCCACATAAATAGTTAGGGAGACTCTTATCTTGAAAATACTCAACGCAAAAAAGGGCTGGTAGAGTACCCCCTGCCCAAAAAGAAGTGGTATGAAAATTTGATGTGAAGAGGTTAAAACTTATAATAGTTCTAAAAGGATAACAAGACAGAGTGAAGTTTTTATTTATTTATTTTTAATTTTTTTATTCATATGTGCATACAATGCTTGGGTCATTTCTCAGAGTGGAGTTTTTGATGGTTTATTTTATAAAACGTGGCATTGTTAGCACTTAATTTAGTTCAAGACAATAACAACATCCAGTGAATCCACACTCAGTGTATATTTACACGTGAATATAAAACCATATATGTCGTAGTGACTCAGCAGGAATAGTGTTTAATTTGGGAATAGAAATGGCATTTGCTTACTCACCAGTGCAATATAGGTAAATATATCTCTCTTAAAAGAAAGTGTAATTTTCACATTTTAAAAATGAAAGTGTAATTTTAATTGTCTTTGTCTTAATATTTCTGTTTTTCATAAAATAAGCCTCCAGCTGTTCCAGACAATAGAAGACAAGCAGAAAGTCTTTCATTAACTAGGGAGGTTTCCCAGAGTAGAAATCCCTCAGTATCAGAACATCTACCTGATGAGAAAGTCCAACTTTTTAGCAAAATGAGAGTACTACAGGAAAAGAAACAAAAAATGGACAGATTGCTTGGAGAACTTCATACTCTTCGAGATCAGCATCTGAACAATTCATCATGTATGTAAATCTAGTTCCACAGTTTTTATGTATTTATATAAAGCATATATAAATATACATGCTGGCAAGCACATAGTAGTTGTATAGTTAAAGCATTGGATGAACGAATAGTTTCTCCAGAAATTTATAATTTTTGTGGAGAAAGAAAACTTAAATGTAAAAGTTTTTAAGTAATAAGCTAATATGCAATAAAAGTCAAATAGATGGTAAGTCTATTCAGAAAAGAGAAAAAATTGAGAAATTGGTAGGATTTTAATAAGAAGAAGGTAGAAGAGAAGGTAACTATTTGGTACTCAGACACAGTACTGTGTTTTTAAAATATAGTCAGGTTTTTCCCTGAGGAAAAACTAATCAATTTGTTCCTTGGTTTCAGAACCCTGAAACTCTGGGTGGGGGTTAGGGAGAGGTAGTGCAGTGGTAGGGTGCTTGCCTAGCATTGAAAGGCAGGGTTTAAAAAATGAAAATAAAGATGTTAAAAATCCTGAAACCATGAAACATATTATGTAGACAAAAGTGAAACATGAAACGTTCATATATTTCATATCACTTCATGCAGAAAGTCTGCAATTTAGAGCCACTAGGCTTACATTCATGCTTTAAAAATAGTCAATTCAGCAGACTATAGCTATAGAACTATAGGAGCTTTTTTTTTTTTTGGTGCTGGAAATTTAACCCAGGACCTTGCATATGCTAACACTGAGGTATACTCCCATGCCTATCTGTCTAATTCAGACCTAGCCACTGGTCTTCAATAGATGTCCTAATACCTTCTCAAGCTTAGTTTCTGCTGCTTATAAAAACATTAGCAATGCAGGCTCAAGTGTTGGAAATTGAAGTCAGTAGACACAGCCCCGAATTTAAAAGAAAAAATAAGGGATGGAACACAGCATCTTTGGAATCACTGTTCTTTTTGGTTTGTTTTTTTTGTTTGTTTGTTTGTTTCAAACAAGTTCTTGCTGTGTAACCAAGGCTGGCCTTGAACTTGCAGTCCTCCTGTCTAAACTTTCCTAGTATGGGATTACAAACATGTACCACCATGACTAGCTTGAAGTCCCTCATTTTTATTCTCCACACATCTCATATTTCTCTGCCACCTCCAAAAGTATACCTTACTATTTTTGTCCTGAAACATAGTCCTTTTCCTTCCTAATCTCTGCTAACTTCCTCTTCTTCCAGATAATAATCCAGTGACTATTCTTTACAAACAGGGGAAGACAACTAAGAAAAACTTAAAATTTTAAAAGTATGCTTGTGGCTGGTGGGCAGTTTTATAAAGAAAGGTCATCTTTTTTTTTCCTACTAGGAAAACAGAACAGCAGCTAAAGATAGAATGGTCAAGGACTAGAGTTAAGAAACAACTGGAAACCAGTTACAGGAATTGTAGTACTAAAGTGAAAAGCAAACAATGATGGTCCCTTTGACTAAAAAAAAGAGAGTAGTTTTGAAGTTGGTAGGAGGTAAAAAAGTACAGATTCTTAAATTGTCAATTGCCCTTAAAAAAGTATAAGAAGTCTTTAATGTATGTGGACAGAAAGGTTATTAAGATGTAGTTGAAGGATTATAGAGGATCAGCTATTATCTAATTAGGAAATTGTGTTCTGCACAGTATTTCATGGTATGGATGGATTTATGACAGGTTGGACATTTGCTTTGTCTCTTGGAACAAAAAAAGTCCCATCTTGACAGCCAGTGTAATTCTTACAGGCTGTAGATTTGAAAACAAAGACCTAATCAACTAGAACTGTCCTGCAAAGATTTGCATTTTGTGTATTGCACATCATACATAGTCACCATGTTTAGCTTGACCTAGAACTTAAGTTTATCCTACTGCTCTTCTAATAGTTTTTCTAATGTACAATATCATAATTCTTGTCAATTTCTATATTTGTCCCCGCCTCAGTGACAATACATCTTGAGATGAAATAAGTAACAATGTGTTTTCATGTGTTCAGTTGTGGAGTATATTAAAAAGTACCATGAGAGTGTCTTTAATTGTAAAAATTCAAATTTGTAGAATCGAAGACGTTTAATGATTTGTACTTTTTATCTGTCTACATTTAAGCAAACTGTGAATAAGTGTTGCTTCATGCCTTGCTTACCTGTGTTTCTTGCTAATTTTTTCTCTTTTGTAGTTGTGCCTTCTTCAGCCTCTCCACAAAGGACTGGGGATCAAAGAAGTACAACTTCAGCCCCCTCTGCTCCTGCAGGCCTGACACCAGTTGTCAATGGAGAGTCAAACAGCCTTACATCATCCGTTCCTTATCCTGCCACTTCTCTAGTTTCTCAGAATGAGAGTGAAAATGAAGGCCATCTAAATCCAACTGAAAAACTCCAGTAAGACATTTTTTTATAATCATTGTTGATACAAATTAGAATTAAATAATAGGAATAAATTTAGTAATTTTTTATGTTGAAAATTTGGGAGAAACAGGCTAATAAGATAAATTCTCTTCAGTGATCTGGTAGAAAACGTATATGTGTATGTTAAATGGGCATTTTATACGTTGTCAGAGAGAAATACGTCATTATAACACAGGTAGTTTATGTGACCTGTTAATTGCTTGTTTTTCAGATAAAGGATCAGAAATAGCTAGAACTATAGGTAAAATATTTTGATATTCAAATGATAAGTCAAGGCTCTAGAGTCATGTAGCTCTGAAATTGCATTATACCAGCTATGTCAGTGTGGACACATAACTTAATGAGCCTCTTGTCTTCTCATCTGTAAAATAGAGGTAGTGTAGTGTATCTGTTCATTAAAGTTTTTTTAATATACTTTTAATTGATACATAGTAAATGTACATAATTATGATGTGACATTTTAATTGGTACAAGTTTTTAAAGATTAAAAAACATTGGCATAATTCCTAGCACTTAGTAGAAAACAAGTTTAATTATTATTTTTGGTAAAAATATATATTTTATAGATCTCTTTACATACAGAAAAATTTGGGAACCTTCTGTTTATGCACAGTAACGTTTGTACACCTGATTTGTTCGAGAGAGATTATTTAAAGTGAATATTTGGTACTTTATGTATTTGACGCTTATGAAAAAGCCTAGAAGTATTTTTGACATTGAATATTTAGTGCCACATAATGCTGTTAACATTATTCTTGTGTAAATGAACAATTAAATTGAAATTGTTTTATTATGTTTTTGTCTCTTAACATAAGAAAATAAAGTGATGAGTAAAGTAAACTACTTGAAGCTAAAATCATTGTTTTGTGCATAGATCCCCTGAGTATTTGACTAGGACTAAGTTTTTTCTTCCTTTTTTTGTTTGGTGCTAGCTGCTATTAATGTGAAAATAATTCATGCCTTTGTTTTTTGATAAAATGGGTATTATATATTTTTATCAGGAAGCTAAATGAAGTTCGAAAGAGATTAAATGAATTAAGAGAGTTAGTTCATTATTATGAACAAACATCAGATATGATGACAGATGCTGTAAATGAAAACACAAAAGATGAAGACACTGAAGAATCAGAGTATGATTCTGAGCATGAAAATTCTGAACCCATTACTAACATTCGGTAAGGACTTTTTTTTTTCCACCATATTTGTCCAAACCTGATACTTTGTATTGTGGGGGAAAATACCTCAACAAAGTGTTCACTATTTGTTTTTTATTTAAGTTTTTCCTTTGCACACATGTGCTACTTTGGTCGGTGTAATCTTTCATGTTCTCTAAAGAAAAAATAGGGAAGTGAATATAGTAGCTTAGTAAATTTACTGTTTGTTAGATCAAATGCAAGTAAATTGTAAGAAGTATCAAACTTAGCATTTTCCTACCTGTTTGTTTTAGATGTAATTTTGATTTTCAGATTTTTTTAAAATAAATTTGCAAGTAACACATAACACAAAAGTTAATGAAAAGCAAGAGCCTATTATTCAGAATTTGAACTTAAACACAATAGCCAATGATGTTCTTAGTTTGAAACTGGTTTATTAAAGCTCTAAAGCATTCATTTTTTTTTTTTTAACCCTAAATAACTTCAGGTTGTTTTCTTTCTTATAGAAATCCGCAAGTAGCTGCCACCTGGAATGAAGTAAATAGTAATAGTAATACACAGTGTGTTTCTAATAATAGAGACGGGAGATCAGTAAATTCTAATTGTGAAATTAACAACAGGTCTGCTCCCAACATCAGGGCTCTAAACATGCCTCCTTCCTTAGGTATGATGTTCACAGATAATTTTGCCATGATATTCTTGTGAAGTGGATTTTCTTTCATTAATACCCAAGTTTATTTTAAGATCATTGATATGAATGATAACCTGTTTTTAACAGACTGTCGATACAATAGAGAAGGAGAACAGGGGATGCTTGTAGCACAAGGTGAAGATGATGAAGAGGAGGAGGAGGAAGCAGAAGAAGAGGGAGTCAGCAGAGCTTCGTTATCTAGTCATAGGACCAGTCTGGTTGATGAAGCTCCAGAAGATGCGGAATTTGAACAGAAGATCAATAGACTTATGGCTGCAAAACAGAAACTTAGACAGCTGCAAGATCTTGTTGCTATGGTGCAGGTAAATGCTATATGGCAAATTACTTGTTAAATAGTACAGTCTTACAAAGTAAAATTTGTATGTGTTTGACAAGTTAGTATAATTATACTAATAAGTATTTCTCTCTTCGTTTTTTTTCCGTAATAATGGGGGTTGTATCCAATGCTCTGCACAGGCTAAGCAAGCACTCTACCAGTGAGCTACATCTCCAATTACATGCTAGTTTTAAAGGCTAGTACTTTACATGCTGTACATTAAACATTAGAACATTTAAGAGTGAGATTAGAGCTGGGCGCTGATGGCTCGCGCCTGTAAACCTAGCAACTCGGGGCAGAGATCAGGAGGATCGCAATTAAAAGCCAGCCCAGGCAAACAGTTTACAAGACTCTTACCTCGAAAAAAACCATCACAAAAAAAGGCTGGTGGAGTGGCTTAAGGTACACCTGAGTTCAAACACCAGTACTCCAAAAAAAAAAAAGTGTGAGTAGGTTTTTTCGTCTTTAAGATGCATACAATTTCTGTCACAACTTCTTAGTGGAAAAGCAGCCATATAAACACATGAGCATAGCTATGTTCCAGTATAGTCTTCTTTACAAAACCAAGTTTTTGTTTTTGCTGATGACTCTGGCTTTATATTATGTAGGTCTCTAACAGCTCAGTGAGGCAGATGTTAAACAGATTGAAGAAGTATTAAATTAATTGCCCAAGGTTATACAAATATTAGGGCCATAATTTAAATTGCCTCATACCAGAGCCTGAGATCTTAACTCACTTGATGTAAAACAAGCAAAATCATAATGGCATTTTATTTAGTACGACCAAATAAGTAAAGTTAGAACTTTAATCATAAATTTTAAAAAGTAGTTTATACATATGAACATGTAATTACGTAAGTATCAACACCTCTGTACTAACTAATGTGGTCCAAATACAGCTTTTTGCAGTTCACTTGAGTAAATATAATTTATCTAGAGTACCAAAAATGATTTAACTTTAAAACTTCATTATTGTCTTTTTTCATCTGTCATATTGTGTATTGCTATCCTTTTCCCAGTTATCTAATCACTATAGAAATATTCTTATGGAAACTTTTTTAAAGTATTGAAACATGTATGATTTTTGACCATAATATTTACTTATGACACCTCTATACTCAGCTAATAATCAGCAGGATTTATGCCTTTTGTAAAAGTAATGAATGATTTGTTTTCATTGTGTTTTGTTAGTACTGTTTTTTGTTTGTGTGTGATACTGGTGTTTGAACTCAAGGCCTCAGGCTTTCAAAATATGTGCTTTACCACTTTGAGGCACTCCACCAGCCCTTGAGTTTTGTTTAGTTTGTTTCAGATTGAAAATTTTGAAGTATTAAACATTCAAATTAACCAAGTCTTTAAAGGTATATGAAAATGGTTTTCATCATGAGTGAAAACCTCATGTTTTATTCACAGTTTATTTTGAAATGCTACTTATTGTTAATTACTCAAAAGTGAGTGTGCTCTCTTTGTTAAAAATGTGTATATTACTAGTAAATTCCCTCTTAGTCTCCATTCATCACTTTTTCACAGAGATTTACAAATTTTGTTTTGTTTTGTTAGCCCCTTTTCTGTATATTTACATACCTTAATATGTGCCTATTAAAAAATACATGACATTTTCTTTTGTGTTTTATATATTATATGATATGCTATTATAGCTTGCTTTTTCCCCTTACTGTGTAATGTCCTGAAGAAATTTTTGAGTCAGCATATACTGTTTTATATAACTATATAAACAATTATGAAATACAATATAATTATACAGGTAAACGATTGTAAAATATAGATAAATACTACATATATACGTGTGTGTGTGTATAGTACTTGTAACACATTTTAACTGTGCTAGTTTTCTAAAGTGTCATTGGACCTTAAATTTAGTTAATCTAACATCCTGCTTCTGTTTCCTTGTATGGATTCTAATTTTTCACTATTTAGAAATAGTATTCCAATGAACATTTTTATACAAGCGTCTTTGTGTATTGTGTTTTTCTAGATTAGATATGAAAATTTGGAATTACTGTGTTAGCGTTTATGTACATCTTAATTTTAGTAGACACTGTTTAATTGCTCTCCAGAATGACTGCTCATTAATATTCTAAGCAGTGATGTTTGAAAGTCCATTTCCCAATACCTTTGCTGACATTTTACTATACTGATTTACTACATCTCATGTGACCATTAGTAGTATTAGCTTTTTGGCTTTTCCAGATTTCCCCTATTAGAAGAGCTGTTAAGGAAAAGATTGCATAAACACATGTTAACATGTGCATAAGTACAAATAACATGTAAACACATGCATGTGAAAACATGCTGGCATGTATGAACACATGTAGAGGTATATGTGCACACATATACTTACTTTTGCTTACATATTCAAGGTGCATCTGGAAGGACACCTAAACTTGTGATGTTGCCTATGAAGAATGGAATCATTTGGAAGATAGGAATGGGAAAGTCTTTTCTGAATGTTGTGTTTACTTTCTTGAGTTCTGATCATATAACTGTGTGACCATTTGAAAAAACCAAAACAGCTTCTAAAGTAAATAATAATAACAGATTATGCTCTCTTGAATAATTTACCATTTTTCCTTTAAGATTTTTTTTTAGATGTACAGCTCCAAATTGGAATATAGATCAGTAATTATGAATAGGTTATTGACTTACAGATGAATCAGCCTAATTTCAGGCTTATATTAAATGGCAGGTTTTATTTTAGGGAGTGTTCAGTATTCTAAGACCTGAAATACATATATAAGAAATAAAACTAAAACCCTGGGGGATTAAAGGCCTTCTTGCAGGAATGATCTAAAACTCTCAAGTTTTATATTTAAGATTGTCCACTTTTCCATTTTAAATAGTCGTGTTCCAAGGGACATAGGAGAAAATCTAAAAAGTTAAGTAGTTATCAGTAGGTGTAGCTGTTAATCTTTCTTGTTTAGATTACCAGTGGACAATTAAAGCACTTAAGAAACCTCAAGTATCTTATAAGCCTTCAGATCTCTCTTTTAGTTCCTTAGGTTGTGTGAGGCAGTGTATGTTAAAAATGATAATGCTTTCTAGTCACTTACTTTCTCAGGTTTTTTTTTAAGTGCAGTAGTTTATTGTTTCAGTTTTCAGGCCTTCTCATACTACCACCTGAAATTTTTAGGCAGCTTTGTTTTGCGTTAATTTCTCATACTTTAGTTTTTCCACTTTTTATTTTGTATCCAAGTGTGGGGAGTGGATTATGAGAAGCCCATGAGAACATGACAGAAGCACAGCTGTGACCAATAATCAGCAGGCTGAGTTTGGCATGGCCCCATTTGAAGAAGAGAGCTAGAGGCAAAATGTATCACAGCTGCTTTTCTCAAGTTGTTTACATTCAGAGAAAGAAGTAGAAACTGAGGTTCCTCTTTTTACAGTGTCATGCCCCTCGCTGAGAACTGTTACTCCACCTCCTTGTTTACCACTGGATATAAAAGACTTACTGAAGGATGGGGTTTTGATTGATTGATAGAGAAGTTTGATTGGCTGCCTGTAGGCTGCTTGTGAGGCTGTCACTGATGCTGCTGCTGCTGGCTGTTGTATGTCCCCACCAGAGAGCTTTCTGCACCAAGAACTTTATACATAGGCTTTAGAAAAGCTATGCTGAAGAAAAGCAAAAGAGAACATGGGACAGTGCAAGTGTGAGGGCCAGGACTTTAAGAGAGATTAAAGAAAACATGAGACAGTACAAGTCTAAGAAAGAGACTTTAAAGAAAAGAAGAAAGGCTTTAAAGAATAGAAAAGAAGTAAGGTTTTAAAGAACAGGGATAAGAAGCAAAGTAAAAGAAGAGTTAATAGAGAAAAGAAGCAACAAGGCTGTTGTGCATCTCCATCCAAGCACCCAGCACACCTGGCCCCAACTTTCTGCAGCTCTGTCTTCTTTCGTTTGTCCTTTCTGCATCTTCAGTTGCCCACAGTTAGGTCAGGAGGAACAGAGCTGCGAGAAAGCTCACTACAATCCAGTAACAGTGGATATTGATTAAGAGTTTCCAACTCCAATGGGATATTTTTAATTTTCTTACTGTGTAGAAAGCTATTCTTTGATAGCTCATCTATCAAGAAAAGGCAATCTAATTTTTATTATTAATAGGTGTTTTAGTCTGTTCTGCATCACTATAATGGAAAACATCAGACTGAATAACTTCATAAAGAAAATAAGATTATTTAGCTCACAGAGAGGTTTAAGGTCCATATCTGGTGATGGCCTTCTGCCTGACAAAATCCCAAGGCTGTGTAGGGCATCACATGGCAAGAGACAAGGATGTATGTGTATATCCATATCCTTTAGAGTCTCTCTCTTTTCTTAGAAAGCCATCAGTATTCAGCTATTGGGGCTTCACCCTGATGACCCTATCTAATCCTAAATCACTTCCTATAGACCCCACCTCTAATCACCATTAATGGGATTAAATTTCCACCTCTTAATACCTTATAATGGGGTTTAAATTTCAGTGCATGAACCCTTGGGGAGCACACTCAAACCATAGCACTGAGTAATTGACAACTTAGAATAAAACACAAAATTAGTAGCTATAAATCTCCATTTTCTTATAAGGCCATTAATATTTAATTTTCTTATAAAGCCATCAACAATTAATTTTAAATGTGCTCATTTTAGTTTTAGTACTTTGTTTCTTGCCACTCACAGATGATGGACTTCAGTTTTCTGTAAAAATTATGTGCTTTCTCTAATAACTATTTTGTGTTATGTAGCTTTAGCAAATATACTTAGTATATTTACTAAGGTGTGAATTGGATAATGTCTTTAGATAGCAAGATAATTGTAATTATGCTGTTTTAGGATGATGATGCAGCTCAAGGAGTTACTTGTGCCAATACATCAAATTTGGGTGATTTCTACCCAGCAGAAGAAGACACTAAACAAAATTCAAATAATGCAAGAGGAAATGCCAATAAAACACAGAAAGATGCTGGAGTAAATGAAAAGGCAAGGTATGGCAAACTTTTGCTTTCATGATGAAAATTTAGTGAATGTTACAGAGAAGTTACTTGGCTGAGTTCTGTGTTATGTTTTGCTTAATTCTGCTGTATTTTATTGTATTCCACAAATACAATGTCAATTTACTTATAGAGAGAAATTTTATGAAGCTAAACTACAACAACAACAAAGAGAGCTAAAACAACTGCAGGAAGAAAGAAAGAAACTGATTGAGATTCAAGAGAAAATTCAAGCGTTGCAAAAGGCCTGTCCTGACCTGCAGGTAATTATGAATCTCATTATTTTTTTCAGTTTATCTGGAAAAAGTGAAAATCTAATGTCAGCTGAAAGTAATCTTTGTATTTTACTAGTACTAAGAACAAATTTGTATCTACTAATTTTGTGTTTTATGAAATGGATAAAGTAATGAAATGGATTGGAGATACATACATGCTTTTACACTATGAAAAAAAGGCATATAGGAATTAACTGATTACTTCCATACTTACTGGGCTAACTAGCCATTGATAAAGAGTGTGAGTACTTACGAGTGAAAACATTTGGGTTAAACTTGCAATTATGGACCAGCATTTCCATTTTTGTTCACCTAGAATTGCATAATAAAACTTCTAAGTCATAAATTATCTAAGGAAAATAATTATGTATAGTTCACATAATTACATGCTTTGGTTATTAAATAGCACTCTAAAATATGGGGTTTTGAAACCCATATTATGAATATGGGTTTCAACATATTCAAACTGAATAATGCTAACTTTAGCTATGTCAGATAATCAGGTGTCAGAATAAAGTGGAAATGGAATAATAATTCTTTTTTGAGATCTTCCTAAAATGTATTGGTTAGTTTTATGCTTTTCTTTTACATTACTGGAATTTGAACTTAGGACCTTTCACTTATTAGGCAGTTACTCTGCCACTTGAGCCACACAGTCAGCCCAACTTTATTCTTTAGTTACATTTTGTTTTTCTTAAGAAAGAGAAACATGTCCAGTTACATGTTTCTAATATAACCTTATTTTCTAAACTCTTACTTTTTCCACTTATTCTTTTGTCCACTATTTCCAATCTAAATAATGTCTTGAGGAATATGTGGGAGAGTTGGGTAAAGTATACAAAATTTCTCCGGTAACATTTGGTCTGTATTGCCTCTGTTATTCCCAAGTATTATTACTATTCATCTTTAGCATTTTTTCATATTTATTTTCTTAATGTCATCTTTGGGTGATAATGGCAGTTGGGGTCTGGTAATAACTTTATGGTGGTAGAACTCTGGAGAAGTAAAATAACTGCTTTTATGAAATAAATATAATTGCTTTAATGCTTCATAATAGTTTTTGCTAATTCCTTTTTTAGCTATCAGCTGCCAGTGTGGGTAATTGTCCCACAAAAAAATACCTGCCGGCTGTTACTTCAACCCCAACTGTTAATGAGAATGAGACCAGTACAAGCAAATCTGTTTTTGAGCCTGAAGATTCCTCAGTAGTAGATAATGAGGTATGGTTCTTGAGTTGGTCTTAAGTCACATCTTAAGAAAGGAAACTGAAAATCTGTGAAAACCTTTTTTTTTTTTTTTTTTTTTTTTTTTGTGGTACTGAGGGTAGAACCTCAAGTCTTGTTCATACAAGGCAAATGATCTATGTGAAACATGTTTTTAAATGGTAGTGTGTTTTGTATCTTTCTGTTGGATCAATAAACTAATTTTTTCCAAAAAAATAATTATGCTGAGATTGTTTCCAAATAATCATGCTTTTTTTTTTATTAGCAAATATGAGACAGTACTTGCAGCAAAAACAAATCATTGTAGTTGTACCTATTCTCAACGTTTTATTTATATGATTTGCAGGAAATATCTTAACTTTTCTACATTGTTCAGAAGTGTATTTGAGTGCTACTTGCTTATATTAAGAATGATTGCCTTTTTCTTTTCACTAAAATATTATTTTAACTTGCATGGATGTCTTAGAATGAAAATAGAGAACTTTGTTGTTCTGACAATATTCTTTAAGGCTACAGTAAAGCCAAATATTTACTTGATTCCAACTTTTAAAACAATAGTTGTGGTCAGACATGCGAAGACATGAAATGTTAAGGGAAGAGCTGCGACAGAGAAGAAAACAGCTGGAAGCTCTGATGGCTGAACATCAGAGGAGACAAGGTCTAGCTGACACTGCATCTCCAGTGGCTGTATCCTTGAGAAGTGACGAATCTGAGAACTTGTGTACTCCTCAACAAAGTAGAACAGAAAAGTAAGAGAGTTGTTTAAATCCTTTTTAAAATACTACTTACTTAAAACCTATAGGCAAGACAGCCTCATTTTCTCTTTATACCATCGCACAAATTGGCTGTTTTATTGAAGCTAGTATTTAAGTACCAATTTGTGACTCAGTTTAACTGAATCCAGCCGTTTTCTATTCTGACTTCTCATAGCATCAGTGTTCTCTATTTTTTCATTTACTGTAATACTTGATAACTGGTGATAGATTTTTCCAGTGTCAGAAAGTCTTATTAATTAAATTTAAGATTATAGAATGAAAAAAATTTGATTTATGTTTTTTTCTATGGACCACAGGTAAGCTTTTTCTTAAAATTGAATGGTGCATCATTATTTGTAAAGTTCCTAAGGATCTTAAAACATAGCTGGACACTGGTAATCTTAACTTACTCAGGAGGCAGAGATCAGGAGGACGGTGGTTTGAAGCCAGACTGGGCAGATAGTTCGTGAGACCCTATCTCAGAAAAAACATTAAACAACTGGTGGAGTGGCTCAAGGTGTAGGCTCTGAGTTCAAACCCCATTACCACCAAAAAAAATTTTTTTTTCATTGTATAAAGTATTTTTTAAGATTTAAGTTTGAAATTTCCATATTCAGGGTATATGTAAGAGTTGGTCTGTCTGTAAGATGAATTAATTACTTAAATAGATGGTAATATTTAGATCTAAAATTTTTAAATCATATTTATTGCAACCGTACCTTTTTGTATCCTCAGATGGCATTTCTAGAATATTGTGCTCTTTTCCTCTTTGAACTTTTCCTGTTTTTTGGAATCCCAATATGCATTTTATTGATCAAACTATATAATATTTTTGTTCTGTTCTGGCTACTACACATCTATTCGGTTTTTTAGTTGGGGCAGTGCGTAACATCTGTTTTTTTAAAAAGTTCTTCAGGTACTTTTGATGAGCTGGTTTCAGAACCATTGGTCTAGATTGTATGTTCTTAATATGGCAACCAGTAGATATTGGAAGCTACTTATCAACAAAATTTTGAGCACTCAGTAGCCATGTGTACCTAGCATCTACTGCATAGAGTAGCACAAAGGGAGATCATGACCACTATTGCAGAGAGTTCTGGTGGACAGCACTGAGTAGAGAACTCTCTCTCAAGGAAAAGTTGAGGGATGTTTAACTTAGGGGGGAAAAGTCCCAGGGAATATTATTATTACTTTAATTTCTTTGAAGAATTGTTTTATGAAAGACAAACTAAACATTCTGTGTAACAGCAATCAGGAGAGTGACATTTATTTCATAAAGTTACTATGATTAAATAAAATTTTACGTACACATATGTGTAAATATGTTTCATATAATCTCTGGCACATAATAGATATTTAAAAGTATTTAGCTTATCTCAAAAATGGTATTTCATAACATGTTTTAATCACTAGAACAATGGCTACTTGGGGAGGTTCTACTCAGTGTGCACTTGATGAAGAAGGAGATGAAGATGGTTACCTTTCTGACGGAATTGTTCGGACAGATGAAGAAGAGGAAGAAGAGCAAGATGCTAGCTCAAATGATAACTTTCCTGTGTATCCTCCTAATGGTTTGAGTCATAACTCCTATAATGTAAAGGAAACTAAAAATAGGTTAGTTTCAGTATTAATTTTTTGGCTTGACTTTTAAGTGTCTCAGGTCTTTCTGACTGGCACAAAGCAGTTCTCCAAGCAAACTAGCCACGTCTCCTAAAATCAGTCCATTTATGGTACTAACTGCTCAAAGTTAGTGTAGGCTTCACAAGTTAAGAGGCTCAATCCCATAAGAGTATCCTCATTTCCAATCCAAACGCCCCAGGTGTTGCCAGATTTGGAGGCAGATTCTCACAATTCCTGTTTAGATTTGATGATTTCCTAGAACAACTTGCAGAACTCGGGAAAATAATTCTTTGTATTTATCCAGTGTCTTATAAAGTATCTTAATTCAGGAGCAGTAAAGTGGAAGAGATGCAAGGGGCAATGTATAGTATGGAAAGCTATGCAGAGCTTTCATGCCCTCTCTGCACCACTGTCCAGCACTTTGATGCACTTACCAAACTGGAAGGTCTCTGAACTAATTATTTAGAGGTTTTGCAGAAGTCTCAGTACATAGTCATGATGAATTAATCATTGACTGTTGGTTCTTGGATTCAGTCTCTGGTCCTTTTTCCTTTCCTGAGGTCAGAGGTTGAGTCTAAAAGTAGTTACTCTGTAATGACTTGGTTGGTTTTTCCTTTAATGGCCTCTCTCCCCATCTTGAAGTTACATAGGGCCTTCTTATTAGTATAAACTCAGATATGCTTGATAGGGGCTTCTTATGAATAACTAAAGATAATTTTTCACTCAGGAGATTCAGGGGCTTTAGGAGCTCTATACCAGAATGTAGAGATAAAGATTATTTGGGGGTTTTTTTGTTTCTTTTAACTCAAGGCCTTGTTCTTGTTAGGCAGGCATTCTACCACTGGTGCCACTCGTGTAGACATAGATACATCTTTTTATATGACAAGGGTGTTACTGCAGTAGATCCCAGCTAGACTGAATCAAGATTCATACCTAAGCTTTTATCTGTGCTCCTGTTTGGGAAACTAAGGAAAAGTGAAAAATTGTAGGTAGTGAAAAAGGTCTGTTAACAAAGATACTAACTGCATTACCAGGTGCAGTGGTGCATGCCTTAGTCCCAGGTATTTCAGGAAGCTAAAGTGGGAGGATCAGTTGAGGCTGGAATTGGAGACCAGCCTGGGCAACATTGTGAGACCCTGTCTTAAAACACATTAGAAAATATACCAACTTCACTGTTATTTCTAGTAATGAGCACATTGTCATGAATAGAAATGGTTGAGTACATACAATAGTGCCGCTTGATGAAATACTGTGCCTAAACTTAAAGCATGACAAATGGAAAAGTGCTTATGATACAAAAATATTTCAGTTTTGCCAAATACAGAATTAAATGGATTCTTCTGTGTAAAACGTAAATGAGAAAATCTGGAAAGCAATAAAAAACATTAATTGCACAAGACTAGAAATCTTTAACTTCTTTGAACTTAAAGAGAATATTGGCCCATAAACTTAAGATTTCAGGTTTAAAACTATTACATAGGATGATTTTAAGGCTCTAAATCTTGCGATAGGTGGAAGAACAATCGCCCCATTTCAGCAGATGGAAATTATCGTCCTTTAGCCAAGACAAGACAACAGAATATCAGCATGCAACGGCAAGAAAATCTTCGATGGGTGTCAGAGCTGTCTTACATAGAAGAGAAAGAACAATGGCAAGAACAAATTAATCAGCTAAAGAAACAACTTGATTTCAGTGTCAGTATTTGTCAGACTTTGATGCAAGACCAGCAGGTAAAATTTACTTTGAAATAAAATTTTATTTGCATTAGTTTTGAAGCAATACAAATTTTTCTTAACTATTACCAAAATTTTTCTTAATAGACTCTATCATGTTTGCTACAAACTCTTCTCACGGGCCCTTACAGTGTTATGCCAAGCAATGTGGCATCTCCTCAAGTACACCTAATAATGCACCAGCTGAACCAGTGCTACACACAGCTAACATGGCAACAGAATAATGTTCAGAGGTAATCAGTTTTTTAAAACTTGAGTGTGTGTAGAAAAACGCTAAAATTGAGGGAGAGTTTTACAGTTACCTACTACAAAAAAGGGGCTTGAGCTAAATTACATATTCAGATATTCTCTATTGTCTGAAAATAGAGGTAATCCATTAATCTGTTAATATTGTGGATTTGATATGTGTAGAATTTCATATTACTGATTTGTATACTTACATTGGATAAACTACATAGTGTGTAAGTTATACCATAATAATGTCATAAACAAATTCATTTCTTATGTTATACCTATTATCTGATAGAAGTACTAAGTTCAGTTTTTGTTACAAAGGCTGTTACTGAATTAATCTAGCAGAGCAAACAAATATTTGTTGTAGTAAGTTTCAGTCTAGTCTGAGTGCTATTGAATAATTTCTTACATACATTCTTTCTTAATATACTTTATGTAGATGGTAATATAACTGAATTTAAATTACTGACTTTTTAAATTTTTTGTAGGTTGAAACAAATGCTGAATGATCTTATGCACCAACAAAATCAGCATCCCGAAAAACCTAGAAGCAAAGAAAGAGGCAGTAGTGCATCACATCCCTCTTCTCCCAGTCTATTTTGTCCTTTCAGCTTTCCAACACAGCCTGTAAATCTGTTCAACCTGCCTGGATTTACTAACTTTTCATCATTTGCACCAGGCAAGTGACTGAAAACCTGAAGGGAAAATAAATGAATGTAAAATGTTTGAAATTATAATTTGTTGGATTTTAAACATATATCGGAGTGGTAGTAAATATTTGCAAGGAAAGTTACAAGCTTTTTGTGTATTGTTTCTTATAGTGAAACTTAATAATATGGTCGCTAACAAAGTTAAGCAAATTACTTATGAATCCTTGCTTCAGCTGTTTATTAAGGGGAAAGGGAATTGACCCATTCAGTGGCTGCTGTACACCAGGCACCATGTGATCATCAGGAGAGTAAGGACAAATAAGACAGTATTCTTCTAGAGAAGTACCTTATCTTGTTGGGGAGTACTCTTAGCTTAGGCTTTTAATGAGGATTTTTTTTTTTTCTGTGTGCTCATAATAAGCTAAGCCCTATATAAGTTAGTGATATTCAAAGATGAGTGAGACTAAATCTTGAATAAATTCACAATTTAATCAGGAAGCTAAAAGTATTAATAAATGCTTATACCAGCGCATGGATGCTATGGAAGTGGTGTAAACATTCAGGGAGTGTTAGCAGATTAGTTTTAGAAAAGGTGATATTTAAGCTAAAGAATAGTATTCTATTCTAAATATTATTTATCTCCTAAAAGATTAAAAGGGAAAGGGCTTTCTAATCAATGGAATCACTTAAGAGTTACAAAGCAATGGAATAATTCATCACTTAGGAAATTTAGGGACGGTGAAGGGTGACTGTTGTTTAGAGCCAAGGCAGATGAGGAGTGATTGATGAGATTGAAGAGTAGAACAGGCCTTTTGTGATGTGCAAAAAAGAGTGTAGATGTTATTTTGCAGTTAAAATAGGGCCATTGTAGGACTTTGAGCAATGGGATAATATGAGATTTATGTTTTAGAAAATTTTACTGGGGAATAGTGTTTGAGCAATTGGAGGGAAGGCGCTAAAAGTATAACTGATGGCTAGAAGAATTTTTAGTAATGTTAGGGAAGGAATAGTAGCCAACCTAAGGTATTGGCAATAGTGATAAAGACAAAGGGTAGTTGAAAAGACAGGAGTAGCATGAATATGTTAAGTGACCAGTTATAAAAAGTAAATCATGAAGGAGAAGTTGAAGATGTTTGTTAAAGTAGGGACTGTAGAGAGGGCTTTGTGAATATATGTATATGGTATATAAATGAGTATATGTGTATGGTATCCATATATCACAAGGTATTTTTTTAATCAGGACTTTCAAGACAGTGGCATTAAAAATTGAACAAGGTTTTTTAGTTCTTGATGGTCAATATTAGCAGCTAACATTATTTGAGTAGCCTTTTGGGGGTGGGGTTGCTAGGCAAGTACTCTACCACTTGAACCATACCTCCAGCCCTTTTGCTTTAGGTTATTTTTCAAATAGGTTCTCACTTTTTTTTTTGCCCTGGCCAGCCTGGAACTTAAATCCTCCTTCTGCATACCTAGGATTACAGGAGTATACAACTATGCTTTGCATAGTCTTGATAATGTTTTTTCCTTTGCTGGCCTCAAATCACACGCTTGTCAATCTCTACCTCCAAAGTAGCTGGGATTGTAGGTATAAGCCACCACCCTGGCCTCCTTGAGTAGGCTTCTGAGTAACAAATGAGAAGTTGCAGGTGCTATTTGTTTTCACCATAATATTCTTCAAACCCATGTCATCCCTGTACAAAGGCTGTGTATTCTTCATAAACTAGTTTCAATTTGTGAAGCCTTATTTATCCCTTCCTCCCCAAGTTGCAATAGCCCCATGCAAATATCTTTGATACATAACACTATTTGATAAGTATTTAATCATATTCTATTTTCCCAGTTAAAGTGAAATGGAATGAAAATCAGCTTTGTGTAACTATTTGGTATTTAATAATACTCTCCTTTCCCTCTTCAAGTGGAATGAAAAAGAAGCTTGGGAGTTATGCATCCCTGAGATCTAACCAGCTCTTCTTTTATTAGACATTTGATATTTAAGCCTATTTTATCAGTGGTAAAATGAGTATAATATTTTATAGTGTTATTTTGAGTATTAAGTAGTTTATCATGTACCTACAATTGAGTCTCACACAAATAATTTGGTAAATATCAGGTGCTATTATTTATAACTTAAAGAGTTCTTAAAGGTGGAATCATTATTCATCTTTGTATCACAAATTCCAAAATGTAGCATGCTGAGCTATAAATAGTGACTAGATAAATGAACATTAGTTTTATTAAATTTGTAATTTTTGTTTTGGTAGGTTGACCAGCACATTTAATTACAACTCTTAATATTTTAAGGCTAAGACATTTTATTGTTGTCTTACCTTTCGCTTTTATTTATTAGGTATGAATTTCAGCCCTTTATTTCCTTCTAATTTTGGAGATTTTTCTCAGAATATTTCTACACCTACTGAACAGCAGCATCCATTAGCCCAGAACCCTTCAGGGAAAACAGAATATATGGCCTTTCCAAAACCATTTGAAAGCAGTTCCTCTGTTGGAGCGGAAAAGCAAAGGTATTATTATTTGCTTTTAGCACTCACTTTTGTGATTGTGTATAATTATACATAATGTGATTGCTCGGAAATACGAAACTTTTATGTCTTACCAGATATTTCAGTTATATACCTGCTGGTAGCTTTTGTCTAGGAGAAGCTCAGGTTATTCTGTGAGATTCAGTTTGGAAGGTTATGACCTGAACCAAAGAGTGTTTTTTGTCCTTGATTTGATACCTGTCTTTTAAGGTTATAAGTGTTCAGAGTTCACTGACTTAGCGCTGGAAATTGGTATTAACTGCTAGAAGATGGTTGTTAAGTGATGGTCCATTTATTTGATTTATAACTTTTGATTAGAATTAGTTTGTAAAGACCATTCAAATACAATATTCAGTACTATTAGGCTATAAAAACAACCTTTGTCTGAGAAGCTTTGACATTACATGGTACCTGTCATAGTTAAGATTTTGTTTTCTCTTTTATATATATGTATATGTTGTATCTCCCCCAAATACAGTTTCTGACACAAATAATATGAAAGAGTAGTAAGATTGCCTCAGGTCAGTCATTCTGTAGGCATTTTTGTCGCTATGTAAATAATGTTTTTTACAATTTTCATTAATCCAGAAAATTATTTTGATATCCAGCTGTTGGAAATCATATGGCCTATGTGCTATGCTATTTACTTCAGGAAAACTTTAGAAGGATGAAATAATTAGATATCAGTTGAGCCTATTATTTTGTTGGAAATCTCTACATAATTTTCTATCAGTGTCTTTTAGAAATATACAATTCACATTACATCTTTTAGCTTTATGATTGAGCATATATCGCAGAGTCATAAATTAACATTTAGCACGATTTAATTGTTAAATTATGAACTTTTGGGGATCCTTTCTTTTTATTGAGTAACCAAATAAATCTTAGATTTAACTTGTAGTCACATCTAATAATGCTATGGTTAACCACCATACCGTTGTTGACCCCTTTTATTAACTGTCCTGTCCATTATTTCTTACTAAATTTCATGATTTTCTATTAAAGTATTCTTTCAGAATCCTAACACACGGTGTTTAGTGCAGTTGCCATTCAGAAAGATAGCGGAATGAATCTTCATCACAATAAACATTTATTCAAAACTTGAGTGAATTCAGTTAGAATTTGCTTCTGACTATAAATTTTGTACTTCATTAGTAATCAGTGTTTTTTATATACTTGATGTTAAAATTATTCTAGCTTTGTATTAAGTATATGGTTTTTAGGACAAAGCTGGATATCTTTAGATATTTAACCTATTTTAGATTAGATAGACCTATCTTCCAAAATCCCAACTATCCTTGGTTCCCCGAGTTAGATGCCTAGAGATAAGTTAGACAGAACCTTGTAGTCTTTAGCAGTTTAGTGCTAGGTAGTAAACATTTTTAGGCTTTGTACTGTTTATCATGGCCATTTTTCTGTGTCACTTTTACACAAAAGCAGCCATAGACTATATCTGCAAGCATGGCTGTATTCTAGAAATATTTTATTAGTGGGCACTGAAATTTGAATTTCATGTAATTTTCATGTGTTGAAAATAATATAAAAACCAGCAGGGTGCCAGTGGCTCACGCCTATAATTCTAGCTACTTGGGAGGCTGAAGGGTTGGCAGAATGGCCCAAGTGATAGAGCACCTGCCTAGCAAGTATAAGACTGATCCAAACCCCAGTACCACAAAAGAAAAAATAAATCATGGGAGGATCACAGTTTGAGACTAGTCTGGGCAAGAAAAAGTTTGTGAGACTTCATCTCAGCCAATAACTGGGCATGGTGGCATGCACCTGTCGTCCTAATTTATGTGAGAGGCAGAGATCAGGAAGATCGAGGTTCCAGGACAGCCTGGGTAAAAGTTTGCAAGATCCTTTTCAGCAGAAAAAAAGCTTGGTGGTGTGTGCCTGTCATCCCACCCCTGTAGGAAGTGTAAAACAGGAGGATCATGGTCCAGGCCAGCCTGGACAAAATTGAGACCCTGTCTCCAAAATAACCAGATCAAAAAGGTCTGGAAGGGCTGGCATAGTGGTTCAAGTGGTAGAGCTCCTGCCTAGAAGTGTGAGTTCCTGAGTCCAAACCTCAGAATAGCCCAAAAGAAAACAAATAAACAAAAAAACAAATTGCAAGAAGGGCTTGAGAACATGGCTCATGAGATAGAGCATCTGCATAGCAAGGGTGAAGCCCTGAGTTCAAACCCTAGTACCTCAAAAATAAAATAAATTTTTAAAAAAAATTCCTAGTTCACAGGCCATATAAAAACAGGTAGCAGCTGAATTTGTCCTGTAAGTTATAGTAATTTGCAATATGTAAGTTACAGGTTTCTAATCCTTGCCTTACCCTATAGGTCAATGTCTCCCAAACTATTCTTTGGAATACTTGTTGTCCATGCTAGGTTCTATGACAATAAGTTGTGAACTTCTTGCTCATTATCACTGCAAAATACTTATGAAATATTTCGGCATATTAAAAATTCTGAGAAATCCTACAGACCTATTTAATCTTGTTTTGCTTATTTTTTCCGCAAACTTAGATGACCAGAGAATGCCTATTATATATTAAGGGATGCCTGCATTCAGCAGACAAACTTTGAGAAAAGCTATTAGGCTAATAGAACTATACTGTATGCAAGTAGAGAAATATATCATTAGCTGAATGCCTGATTGTTTCCACAAATCAGAGTTCTGTTTAAACTGTCTTTAGACATAGCGGATGCATATATGTTTCCAAATCTGTTCCTATAGCTCTTTTACAACTGTTCCTCCAACTTCGTTTAGAGCTTTTGCCAGTAACGTGGTGTAGTGAGAAGGATCCAAAATTAAAATTTCAAGTAATTTGCAATATGTAGTATTTCCACATTTAATTCATGTTCTTATAGCCAGTTGATAATTTTATTTACCTAAATAAATTCCTTAGTAAACTCTATCTGGAATTTTCAATACAAAGAAATCTATAATTGTGATTTGTAAAATGTTGTTTTCATTGGTAAGGAATCAAAAACAGCCTGAAGAGGAGGTAGAAAACAGTAAGACACCGTGGTTATATGACCAAGATGGGGATGTAGAGAAACCATTTATCAAGACTGGATTCGCAGTGTCTGTAGAGAAAACTACAAATAGTAACTGCAAAAATCAATTAGATACAAGCAGGAGAAGACGCCAGTTTGATGAAGAATCATTAGAAAGCTTTAGCAGTATGCCTGATCCAGTAGACCCAACAACAGTAACTAAAACATTTAAAACAAGAAAAGCATCTGCACAGGCCAGCCTGGCTTCTAAAGACAAAACTCCCAAATCAAAGAGTAAGAAGAGGAATTCTACACAGCTGAAAAGCAGAGTTAAAAATACTGGTAAGTATTGAAATTTGTTGACTGTTGATCAGCATATGTTGGTAACCTTTCTCTGGCAGGTTAATATATTTCAGTATGGGTAGTTGTGCAGGCACTATTCAGATACACTTCAGTTAGTTTTAGTAATTTCATACTTTTTTTAAATAAAGTATTTCAAATAGGGTGACTGTAGATTTTTTTTTTTTTTTTTTTGGTGGAACTGAGATTTGAACTCAGCATTTTCACTTGGAAAGCAGATACTTTACCATTTGAGCCATACCTCCAGTATAGTTTGCTCTGGTTATTTTTTTTTAGAGATGGGATCTTGCTAACTCTTTGCCTGGGTGGCTTTGAACTATAATCCTCCTGATCTCAGCCTCCCAAATAGCTAAGATTACAGGCGTGAGCCACTGGTGCCCAGCTAATAGAGGTATTTTTAAACTTGGCATTCATTCTTTTTTTTGTGCTTCTTATTTTTTATGTATGTATGATTCTTATGAACTCAGCAGATGCTCTCCATATTTTGTAAGTTACTGAAAGCTTGCCAAAATGTCCAAGTTTTACTCTTTTCTGTCTGTCAATGTTTTGTGTGGTCTGGCATCCAACTCTGAGTCGTGACTTCTCCTTAGATTCTTGATTGATCATTTAAAGAAGTTTGGGCTTCTAATTCTAAATACGTTGGAATTCATGTAAAGCACAGAGTTGTGTTTAGTCCTTCAGGAGTTAAATCCATATTTTATTGAATATGGTATTACCATATTAAAGTTCTCTTTTTAGTATTGCTGTGTACATGTATACTTTTTAAAAATACACTTTCTGGTTTTTTAAAGAATTTATTGAAGTCTAGTATTAGTACTACATTAAAAATAGTTTTATTAGCTAAAATCTGGAATATTGTATCTAAAAGATTCTTATTCAGGTTTGCAAGAAATACTTTGACAGTGGCCTTGAAAGGCTGTTTGGCGTTTAAGGAGATGGTATTGGTATTTAAGAACAAAGTTTTCTAAGCTTGTACTCAGAAAAGTTTTCAAAATCACTGTATGACTACAACGCCCTCTCTTGGAAGTTCACAATACATACAGATACAGTAAAAGCCCAAGGAAATCCTGTAGTAAAAAATACACTTGAAAACATTGGCAGTATCAAACACAAACACCATTTTTGAAGTGTGGAACTCTTAAAAAAAAATCTGATGAAAACTATGGATGACTTTACATTTCAGGGATTCCGGTATCCTAAGTCCTTGATTCTCACCCCTACCCCCATGTGAAGAATCTGATGGATAAACAAGCAAATTTGAACAAGGATATTTTTCTTAGCATGCACATAATCTTTCTTGAAATATTTTTAATAGTTAAAAAGGTTTAAGTGGAGCTAGTTTATTTAACAGGTGATCTGAAACCATTCAGACAAATACTATACTTTCTCCATGATTAGTCTTAGTGCCACCAGAAACATTTAAGTACATGGCTTTTTTTGAGATAAGCTCTCACTAATACAACTTTTGCCTCAGCCTCCCAAGTGCTGGGATTTGATAATGGCAATTTTGAGAGAGGCTCTTAATGGTGGTCTTACAAGATAACCTTATAAGTTTTTATTCCCTAATACCTTCCCCTGACAAAAGTTTTGTAATACGAATAAATGAAGAAAAGCTAACTTTTTTTTTTAAATCCCAACATTCTCTCTTTCAGCTAGAAAATTGGAGTTTGTCAATGGCAAGGCTCCTTAAACTTTTAATGTTTCATATAAAATTCCTTAGAAATCCTGTTTCAAGTGCAGATTCTGATTCAGTTGGTCTGAAAGGAATCTGAGAGAGAGTCTGGTTTTGGTTTGGGTTTTTTTGTTTGTGTTTTTCCTTTTTTCATTTTTGAAATAGGGTTTCACTGTGTAGCCCAGATGGACTCACTCTCACAGTCTTCCTGCTGTAGCCTCTCAAGTGCTGAGATCACAGGCCATACACTACCATACCTATCTGATTTCTTCATTAACAGACTCATATGTTGCAGATACTAGTTTGTGGACCACACTTTGAATAGCAAGGCTTCAGAGAACACTTAACCAATTTATGGTCATGTCTACCTAAGTCTAGAAATATTGGTATGTTTGTACTTTTTTGAAGTACCCTTACTATGCCATATATGTACAGCTCAACTTTTTAACATAAAGTCAAAGATTAACATTCTGATCTTTGTGCTCTCTTCTTTCATGTTTAAGTTTAAAAATATCTGCCCAAAACATGCATTCATATTTATTCAATAGGCATTTGAGGCCATTTGTTGTTAGTGAGAGCCCTACTTTAAAGGATTCCACAAAGATAAAAGACTTGATGGCAGAATGAAACACTATATACCAAAGTCAGCATGTGGCAGAATCAGATTGGTTAGTGAGATCCTTGCTGTTCAGAATGTGAACCATGGAAAGGTAGTGTTGGCATCACTTAGGAGATTAATACAGATGCATACTTTTGAGCCTTATGTCAACCTGAATCGGTACACGTTTTTTAAAATAAATATTTTACCAAGACTTCAGGTATTTTATGTGAAGACACAAGATGTTTGAAAATGCTGGGCAAAAACACTGATTTCTGTTAATCTTTTTGGGATAAGGATGGCCGAGATTTGTTTTGTTTTGTTTTTAAATAAGGATGTTTATATTTAAAGGAGTAGTGAATGGATAAGGGTTGTGGATTGGAAAGCATGTCAAATTTTAGTAGCAATAAGAAAGTATAGGCTGGGTGTGGTAGTACATACCTGTAATCCCAACACTTGGTGGTAGAGGCAGGAGGATTGTAAATTTGAGACCAGCCTGGTCTCAGGCTGTAAAACCCTGTCACAAAAGAAAACAAGAGTTGGGAAAAACCAGGATCAGAACAATTAAGAAAGGATAAAGGACATGATAAATAGAACAGCATAGTGATACGTAAATAGTCTTCAAGGACAGAGATAGCCATTTATACTATCCCAAACTTAGTAAATTGAACTATATATGTACATGGTTTTTAAACATTAGTAGTCTTAAGTGGCCTGCTAAATCTTTATTGTTTTCTAAGGATGGTAATGTATTTTCATCCATAAAGGTCTTTATACATAAAAATACATATTCCATATGAGGTAAGAATTTACAAGTTATGTAATAATCTTTTCAACTTCAGTTCAAATTTGACCTTATGAATTGAAGGTGATTTCTCACCCTGCTGGATTTTTCAGTTATCAGACCTATAATTTGATTGCACTCACCAGGCCCATTGTATGTGGTGATATTATGAGAGAAAAGTAGGAACATAGTCTAGCTCTTTCCTGTTCTTTTCTTAAAAATTTGAGTCTAGTTGTTAATTTACTGATTTCTGGGTTTTAATTATTCTTATTACTAATAAGGAATGATGTAAAGTGGATATAAAGCATTAGACAAGACAAGGCCTAACAGATTTAGTTAGTAATAAAAGGGTGTTTAATTACAGTTTAAATAGAGTAGCCAGATGTACCAATTCCCTGTTCCTTTGTCCCACACCTGAACAATAGTGAAACAAAACGGACCAGAAGACAGTTGCAAAATGAGTGATGGTATACCCTGAGGAGTCAGAGCTATACTTCAACTAAGTCATTTTTTAGTTTGCTAATATTCCTCAAGAATGAGACAGAAAAGTCTATAATGTTTTATCAGAACCTGAGAAGAGATAAGAAACTATCTCATGATAACCTGTCAAGGAGAGAAAGCAGCAAATGTGTTGTAGCAGGGTAATACCACCTTCAGCCAAGACTTAACATCTAACCTGGATAGAAAGTATATCTGTATACATACATACACTTATGAGTACTCTGGTAAAATTCCTGAATTCCAGGGATAACGTAAAAATATCCTAGTTTCCACACAAAACTACAAGTTGCATACATACAAATAAACAGAAAACTGACATCAAGCAGTCTTACTTTCCAAAGAACGTTAACTCATATACAGTCAGTAAAGGACTATAAGCCCCTGTAATCCCTGCACTCAGGAGGCCAAGAAAGGAGGATCACAGAATTCAAGGCTGCCCTGGGCTGATCCAGTCTGAAGAAAAAAGGTGGGGCAGGTGACAACTCAAGAATCCTGTACTCATCAAAGAGAACCCTTATTTGTCAGGATAAAAAGAATATACTGGTGTATCCTACTTGAGGAAAATTATAGAAACAATATACTCAGAATAGTACTTTTTATGTAATGGTATATAAAGAGGAAAGGTAGCATTTTAGTAAAGAAAGCAGTAGACCAGTCTTATAATATACACATAATAAAATGTTAGTAAATTGAATCTGCCAGTGTATCAAAGGAATATTAGCCAGTTGTCATTAGGATTAATTTTAGAAATGTCATGATTTGCTACCAGGAAATCTGTGAACATAATTTATTAGATTAAAAGGACAGAAATCATAGTGGTAGATTAGATAAAATTGAAGATCATTCCTATTGAAAACTAGTTAGATATAAGAAAACAGTTATTTAAATATAATAAAGGCTGTTAGCCAAAATCTATTATAAGCACCTTTGTTCAGCATTATTTGGAAAGCATTATGACTAGAAAAAAATTGGAATAAATACTAGAAAAAGAAGGAACTGAATATTACCTGCTTTTTTTTCTACAGTGGTTGTTTTATATATATAAACAGACAGCCCAAGGTAGAAATATATAAAATTATTAAGTTACCTGTCCTCTCCAAATTAAATATTTTTAATTTGATTCCATATTGCATTCCCCCAATTGAGTGGTTTTGAAATTGAAAAAAATTCTCATAGCTTATGTAGAAGGATAAATATGTAAGAATCTATTCATGTAGAACAAAAGAAGTTGAATTCCTACCTTGTACCATAGAGCAAAATTAATACAAAATTTGAAAACTTCAGAAGGAAAATTCAATAGCATGTATGTATGACCTCTGGGTGGTAAGACCTTTTAAACCAAATCATTTTCACACAAAAGGTTTGTTAAGAAAGGTGAGCATATTTGACTAATGCCCATTACTCTTCTCTGTATTATGTGTATTTGTGAGGACTGGATGTGATTCTTGTATTTCCCAACAGTGAATAATTGTTAACTTTGATTCTGGTAGAGAATTTGGATCTTATGTAAGGTCTTCCTTATACTCTACTTCGAATTGGGGTGTACTTTTTAAGGTGACTGTCAAAGTATAGTGAAACTGTTAGAGTTCATAATTGTTACCTTATTCTTAAGGTTACTGCAAATGTATCTCCAAATGCATTATTTATTGTTTTGTATTCTGCTTATATTGGGCTTCATAATGTTTTTAACTGAGTTACTTGTACTATTTCACTATGGAAATCAATTTCTCTTTCAATTTGAGTTAGTTGCAACTAATAAAAGCTGACACTTTTTTTTTTTTTAATTCAAGGATATGAAAGTGCTAGTATATCTAGCACATGTGAACCTTGCAAAAGTAGGAACAGATCAGCCCAGGCTGAAGAGCCTATTCAAGCAAAAGTATTCAGCAGAAAGAATCATGAGCAGCTGGAAAAAATAATAAAATGTAGTAGATCTACAGAAATATCTTCAGGTATGTTTGTGTCCCCTTTTTCCCTCCTTAGTTTGCTTCAGTTTAAGGAATTTGAAAAATTCTATTAAAGCAAGTTTTAAAACTGGACTATCACATTTCTATCATGTATAAGCTTTTATAGTAGAGATTATAGTACATATTCCTTTATATCAAGAAAAGTAAACTGGAAATATTTTGTGTTAGGATCTTAGTTTTTGACAACTTAATAAAATTCTTTTTAAACAAAGAATAGTTGACATTAAAGCTGTGCTCATTTGAAATTCAGAAAATCTATTATCTAAAGAATTTGGTATGAAATTATACTCCCTGCTTACAACTCAGGTTTCAACATACCTGCTAGGTAAGGTTTGGATCCCTTAATTTAATGTAGACAGCCATCAGGAATTGGTTTCTTCTTGCCTTTCCAGACTCATTTCTCACCATCTCATGCCCAGAACTTCATTCTTTTAGTGACACTGAACTGGAGCTTTCTTGTGGCTTATCATGTTGTTTCTAACCTCACCAGTTACCTTTTTTGCCTCAAGTCCTTTATAAGCCCTTTTCACTGCCAGACACTCACTTTATGGAACCTGGAAGTTGTACTGAAATCAAGTTGGGATAGCTTTCCCTTTATTTTGTTTTTCTTGGAGCCTGCACAAACCTATTTTGTTACCTGAATCACATTGTATAGTATTTATTTAAGTGTGTGTGTCACCCTTTTGAGATCCTTGGCAGCAGGTAATACTTTCTCATTTTTGTCTTAAATGTCAGTGTAATACCTGATATGTGGTAGGCTCTCTGATAATGTGGTAGGTAATATAACTTACTGAATGAATGTATTTGCCATCATTTTAGTTTAACTAAGCACTGGCACGTTCCTGATTTATAAAGTATATATCATATGGAAAGGGACTCAAGGCTCAGTAAATACAGACTTATAGTCTCATTTGTCTTTAAACCTTTGGTAAACATGATAATATCAACTACCATTTGTATCATGCTTTATTTATGAATTTTCAAGGTTACTTTATTATTTACAGAATTACATAGCATTTTAGCCTCAATGCTGCATTGGGTTTATTTCCATTTTTCAGATGAGGAATCAGAGAGAGGGAAGCAGGTATCTTACTTTTTTCCCCAGCACTTTTTTTTTTTTTTTTTCATTTTTCTTTTATTATTCATATGTGCATACAAGGCTTGGTTCATTTCTCCCCCCTGCCCCCACACCCTCCCTTACCACCCACTCCACCCCCTCCCGCTCCCCCCCCTCAATACCCAGCAGAAACTATTTTGCCCTTATCTCTAATTTTGTTGTAGAGAGAGTATAAGCAATAATAGGAAGGAACAAGGGGTTTTGCTGGTTGAGATAAGGATAGCTATACAGGGCATTGACTCACATTGATTTCCTGTGTGTGGGTGTTACCTTCTAGGTTAATTCTTTTTGATCTAACCTTTTCTCTAGTTCCTGGTCCCCTTTTCCTATTGGCCTCAGTTGCTTTAAGGTATCTGCTTTAGTTTCTCTGCGTTAAGGGCAACAAATGCTAGCTAGTTTTTTAGGTGTCTTACCTATCCTCACCCCTCCCTTGTGTGTTCTCGCTTTTATCATGTGCTCATAGTCCAATCCCCTTGTTGTGTTTGCCCTTGATCTAATGTCCACATATGAGGGAGAACATACGATTTTTGGTCTTTTGAGCCAGGCTAACCTCACTCAGAATGATGTTCTCCAATTCCATCCATTTACCAGCGAATGATAACATTTCGTTCTTCTTCATGGCTGCATAAAATTCCATTGTGTATAGATACCACATTTTCTTAATCCATTCGTCAGTGCTTCCCCAGCACTTTTAAAGGGCTGATAGTATAAATGGGTAAAATTTTTCTGGAAAGCTTCAAAGTCATGTCCTTCACCTAGTATCTGTTCTTATTGGAATCCATCCAGTAGAAACATAAATAGAGAAAAAAATGAGCATTTAGTACTGTCTGAATGGTATGATTCTAGTTATTTGTAAATGAAACATGAATAAAAAAGACCAGAAAAAATGTGTCAAAATATTAATAGTGGTTTTATGATCATTAAACACATCTATATTTTCTAAAAACTTTTGTAGTGAATACTTGTTAACTTTGGTAATTAGAAATATCACATATGCTTTTATTTTAAGATAACTTCCTGAAACTCATATTGCTAGGAAATAGTAGTGCTGAACTTTAAACTAACAGTCCAGAATCCTTTTGGTAAAAATAACAGTTCTATTATTTTTGGACTCAAAATTTTAGGAAATTTTTATAACCTTTTTCTTTAATTATCTTTACTAAACTGTGATATCATCAAAGAGAAACATTACCCGGAGGTTGGGGAAGGGCACTAAATTGAAAGGCATCGTTACTTAAATAATTGATGGTCATAGTATTTTCGACCTTATTCACTGTCACTTCAAAAAACTATAATGATTGAATTTTGGTGACTTAATGTTTTGAGTAGTATAAATACACTATTCATTCACAGATGTATTTTTCATTTTAACCATTACCCTAAAATTCCCTATATCGTGTATTGTTTGTTGTTGCTTTACTTAAATATGTGATTAAGAGTGCAACATATATTACTGATAGTACTAAATTATGCAGTTCTTTTCTCCCACGGGAGTCAAAGTATGTTCACCTTGATATCTGTGCTCGTAAAATAAATGACAGACACTTATGATAGTCATCATCAGTCATAGTAATGTAAGTTTATAGTAAGCCTTTTGAGATTGTTCCTTATGAGATTACTTTTAAATAGAACATAAAACATACCTTATGAAAGATAACATTTCACTTTAGGCAACCTTTTAAAAATTTGCTTCTTTTTTTCACTCACTTTTTCATATTATAGACCCTGTCTTTACTACTCATACACATTTTATGTTCATCCTTATGTCTGCCCTTTCCTACAGCACATGCTAGGAGAATACTACAGCAGTCTAACAGAAATGCATGCAGTGAAGCGCCAGGTAACAATATGCGTAGTTTTGGTGTCCACTTTTGTTAATTTTTTCCCCATTGGTCCTAAAATCCTATATTGTTTTGATATTTTTAGTTAGCTTAGTATATATACGTATGTGAGTTATAAAAATGAAAAAGTTCATACTGATAAAATTCTGAAGCTTTTCATTTATAATTTATGTTGACAAAATAAGCTTTTTTGGTTTTTTGTTTTGCTGTAAGTGTATGAAACCTAACCAACACATTTGTAAAGGCAATAGAAACTTTTTATAACTTAGAATTTGAAAGTTGTTTATTTTACATTTCTTAAATATTTAAAAACATAAATGTTTTCTGAAACAGATGTAGGTATTTTCATCCCATAGTTACTTATTTTTCATTGCCAGTCAATATCTACTTAAAAAACATCAAATAAGAACAATTATAAACATGCAAAAACTATGAAAAATAAAGATTATAGAAAATTTTTAAAAATGTTTAAAAATGTTTAAAAATTTTTCTAAAATGTTGTTTTGGTCTCCAAAATACTATTGTTAAACATGGTTCTATATGATTCAGAATTTTAAAAATTCTTTAACTCCTAAAAATAAAAGCCGGGTAGAACCTTTAGGAGACTCTAAAGAATGGAAAACAAGAACTGAGGAAGCTGAATATATCAATGGTAATTCCAATGCAAAGAACTCTTGAAATAATACAAAATCAAGACTGGATCAGAGAACCCTGACTGAGATTAGGGGTTTTTCTAGCAAAAGTTAATTAAAATCTTTTCATCTCTTGTCTGCAAAAGGGAGAGCTGAAAGTTGTGATTAGCAAAAACCATTAACTAGGAATAATTTTGATTTTTAATGATAAATAATTTAGAGTAAAAATTTTATCACACACAGGGCTAATAAAGAAGACATTAAATATATCTGTTTTTACAGCTTCGAAACAAACACTTTAAAAATCAAGTTACATTATAATAATAGAAATTGAAAGTTTGCATATCAAATCATATCTTCTGATCTAGATTTTTTCTATAAATAGAGATTTCTTACAGAGAGATAAGTTTTGGTTCCTTCTTATACTAACCGTTAGTTTTATAATACTATATCACATTTGAACAATTGAAAACAAAAAATCCTTTATCACTTCATTTTATATGCATAATTGTCTTGAGGAAAGATAGTAAAGTTAAATGTTTTTCATTATTCTTGCTTTTTGCTTGTGGAAGTTTGAGACCTGAAAATGTAACAATACTTCACTAATTAGTGCAAAGTTTTTCCATTAGAGCACCTTCCTTTGGTGTTTTCTTACCCCTCTCACAGAAATGAGTTAAATCTTTATGCTCTTTGTGTACTTTTTGAAAGCACAATATATTTAAACACTCAGCATTTTCTTTCTTAGAAGCTTACCCTTGATTTTTGCAGAACTTGAATATTTAACTGGATACTTTCAGTTCTGCCGTCCTAGAAAATTTACAGAATTTCATAACTAGAAGAACCACTTGAAGATTTTTATCTTTCAGAGAGAATTCAAATTAGGAATAGGTCCTAATTTGTGCTGTTAAAGAGTGTGAGGCTAGAAATGTGGCTCAAGAGGTAGAGTGCCTGCTCTCATTTGTGTGAGGCCCTGAATTTGATCCACAGTGTCTTCCCCCACCAAGGAAAAAAAGAAAAGAAGTGTAACTACATACATTCAAGTGTAATCATTCTGTATTATTAACAAATGCATATAGCAGAATTAATAGCTAAATGATAGAATGATAAGGAGAGTCCGTGAAAATGAAAACTCCCAAGTTGGGTCATTTTTTGCTCTTAATTTTGTACCAAATATATATATGACCAGTGGAATTGACCTATTAAGTTATTGTGATGTATTATTATTTATTAACACAGAACTTCTCTGAATTGTAGATTTGAGAATTAGTGGCCTTAATTAGATAGAATATCAGCAGAATTCACTTTTAATCTCAGTATCAATAAACAAGATTTCCTTTTTTTCCCCTTTGTGGTACTGAGATTTGAACTCAGAGCTTCACACTTGCTGTGCAGGTGCTTTTACCATCTTGTTGTTACCCTAGCCCTGTAATTCCCTTTTTGTGCTATTAAGTTCATATTAGCAAAAACAAGAAAATTTATTTGAACTTATTTCGGTCAGCTGCTGATGGGTTTTCACTGATTATTCCCATGATGTGTGTAAAATTTTTTCAGTATTTTTTTCTTTAAAAGCCCTGGAATAGAATTGTGTTCTGAATTTTAAGTAATTTAAAGCTTAGAGTAACAATGCGGATTATTAGAAATTGTCATGAAGATATTTTATCAGTGTTATTGTCCTAATCTTTTTTATCTTCCAGAAACTGGGAGTGATTTTTCCATGTTTGAAGCTTTGAGGGATACTATTTATTCTGAAGTAGCTACATTAATTTCTCAAAATGAGTCTCGCCCACATTTCCTTATTGAACTCTTCCATGAGCTTCAGCTGCTTAATACAGACTACTTGAGACAGAGGGCTTTATATGCATTGCAGGTATCCAATAACCAACATTCTTTTTTCTACCGTAGTATCACCATGGTTTTATCTGGTTACTTTGTTAGACTAATGTATGTCTTTGTTTCATATGTATTTTTGTTTTTTCCTCAACATTTTATTTAAAACTTCTATATCTTAAGTAGCTTTTAGATAGTATTTTTGAACAATATTTTCATGTTTTTTTCTTTAAAACCTTTTTTTTTCTGTTTTAATTTTTGGTGGCATGGAGTTTGAACTCAGGTCCTCACGTTGCTAGGCAGGCATTCTACCACCTGAGCCACTCTGCCAGTCCTCTTGTTTTTTTCTTTCTCTCAAATGTGATGTTTTTTTCTTTAATGTTATTTTTTCTTCACATTTAACCTTACAGGTGAGAAGTACTGTATTTTGTTCTTCTATCTGCTTCTGTTTTTAAATTTGTAACATGAATTTGGAATTAAGTATATGTCTTATATAAGTATCTTGTTTCCTTATTTAGGACATAGTATCCAGACATATTTCTGAAAGTGATGAAAAAGAAGGAGAAAATGTAAAGTCAGTGAACTCTGGCACTTGGATAGCATCAAACTCAGAACTTACTCCCAGTGAAAGCCTTGCAACTACTGATGATGTAAGTGAATGATGATTAGTAAAAATGTAGACATAATTTCAGTATACAGCAAATAAAAGTTAAATAGGTTATATCAAATTGTGGATACGCCTAATATATTTGATTTCTACCTTTTCAAAAAAGATGTAATGCATTATTTTATTTTGAGGGTGAAGTATAAAACAACCAAAATATACAAACAAACAACAAAATTATGTGTAAATGATATATTGCAAGACCAAAAATAGCCACATTTATATCTCCTTTGCACAATGTAGGGGCTGACTCTTACCAGACATTTAATAAATGTTGTGTTCCTTCAAAACATTAAGGAGACCAAACAGATCACAGTAAGAGCTCTTAAATAAAATATGTTCAAGATAAATAAGACCTTTGGGTAAAAGTGAAGTGTGGACAAAAGAAAACTTGGAGAAATTTTTTTTAATAAAGTAAAAAAATGAAGAGTGGTAAGGAGAATGGTATAAATTTAGTAAATTATGCCCTCCAAATAGTACTCGTACAAGTTGATTGAACAACTGAATGACAGAACTGCTAGAATTCTGAGAAGATAATGTGCTGACTATTTAAAGGTTCGGACCTTGATTCTATCGTAAATGATTATATATGGTCCTAGGACAGGAAGCATACTCTTTTTGGTAACAACTGTATTACCTGGAGATTCCTGGGTAAGAATTAATTGATTAGCAGATAGCTGCTTTGAGGTGAAGAGTTAGAATAATATCACAATGTTTTCTGAGAAGATGTTCCAAAAGATCATTTTTTTTCTCTTCAGATGGAGTAATTTCCTTAAAGTTATTGGAACTTTCTGAATTTTTACTCTTGAACTCAGGTTGAAAACAATACTTCCGCAGCTCATCTTTTTTGCTTTAAATTATTTTCCACCTGACTCCAGTTCCTATACTACTTTGAATCAAATCTGTGACTAAAAACAACATAGTTTTAATTGACTTCATAATGCCAAGTATAAATTAGGAAGTGCTTGCTGCCTTTGATAAATTGTCATTACAATTAATTGAAAATTTTTACTCTTTTGTGGGAGATGAAAAGTAGTCTAGTTTTATATATATGTGTGTGTATATATATATGTATATACACATATATGTATTTTAAAAAACTATTTAGGACTGTTATGTTAGGTTATATTAAGGTTTTCTTGGGTATTGAAATAAGTTGTGAGAGAATAAAAAGTCTCTCTAAGAACTTTTGTACCCTTATCTCCAGTGCCTCCTCCCCTTATTATCTTAAGTTTCACATAAGCAACATTACTTTGTCTTCCTTTAAAATATTTGAGCACATTGATCTGCACCATAAATAGCAGATTTTGAAAATCTGACTACAATTTAGGATAAAATTAACTTAAGTTTTAAAGTTAAATAAAATTTAAAGATAGTGTACTACTTGCCTAGTATTAACCTTTAAATAAGTAAATCTTTTATTTTTCTGCCAAAGCTTACATCAGTACTAAGTGCAACTTAATGTTTATCAATGGCACTTCAGCAGCAGCAGCAGCTATTCAGCAGCCATTGTTCATGCAGATGTAGAGTATCACTTTGCAGTAGGAATTTCTGCAGTGGTGATATTTAAAACTTACAAAGATCAGTATCTAGGAGAAAACACACACACACACAAGATCTGATGTTTAGATCAGAGTAATTTCCTTAGAATTACTGAGAACTTTCTGAATTTTTACTCTTGATGGAAAGGATTGATGGGAAATGGTCTTTATCTTTAGAGACGCTGATTACATGAATGTATACATTTGTCAAAACTCATCATTCTGTTCACTTAAAATGAGTGCGTTGTGTGCAAATAATATTTCAATAAAATGTAATTTTTAACATTATGAATGATGCTGTCATGTTTTTTTTTCTGTTACAGAGCAATGGTATAGTAAGGGTTTGGAGAGAATGTCAAGGAAGATGTAAAAATAAAATGTTAACTGTCACTTCAGAATCTTTAATGAGTGGCTGGCTTTGCATATTTTAATACACATAATGACAAATGTTCTGCAAGTTTACTTAAGAGTTTACTGTTTTCTGTGACTCTTTTCAGCCTTTCATAACTTTGGTTATCCTAGAATCTTGTTTGGATAGTTTTATGCAGTTTCTGGTTAGATCTTTAATATTTATAAAATGTTTTAAAGAAATAGTAATTTTGTTTGTTTTACTGTAACTTAGGAAACTTTTGAGAAGAACTTTGAAAGAGAAACACGTAAAGTAAATGAGCAAAATGAGGCCGATAATGCTAGTATCATGTCTGTATCTTCAAATTTTGAGCCTTTTGCAACAGATGATCTAGGTAAGCAGAACATTTTTTTAATCTTAGCACGTGACTTGAAGGTGGTCTCCTCGTACAGTCTTTGAATTGTATTAATGAGGAGACAACTAGAAAGATAGTGTGTTGTTCAAAAAACATAAAGATGTCAGTCCGTGTAAATTCAGGACTCTTTCTATTAATTCTTTGACCTGGGGCAAGTAATCTTTATGACTGCAGATTCTAATGAAGTGGTGAATGGTAACCTACTTTGCTGTGTTTTGGGGAACATAGCATGGAGGACAGAAGTTCAAAAAATGGTTCTTTACTACCTAAAAGTTCTGGGTATCTAACTGTTATCAAAATCAGCACAGGTCTTCCTTTTGCTTATTGTGATTATTGAGGATTCTAAACACTAGATACTTTCTGAGTAAATACCTATCGGGTCTGTTTTAGGCTCATCTGTTACAGAGAAAATTGCCCTGTGGCCAAACCTTTCTGTTGTCCCTCCTTTTCTGAATGAGTTGCTGAGTAGCTTTTAACTCCTGTTTTCTTTCTTTTATTGATTGTTTTCCTAATAGTCCTTCCCACTAGCTTTGTCAGAAGTGGCCACAGAAGAATTGGGAAATCTCATTGTTTTCTTTACTCTTACTTGCTTCCATTAAGTTGTATTGTTTTCCTCAGTATTTGTAAGACATTTTGGCTCTTTTTTTTTTTTTTTTTAACTGTGTAAGTAAAGTAGCATAGTAAAGTAGTAAAACAGATAGGAGTTTCATAGTGTAAAATAACCTAAGTACAAATATCTGCTTTATTTAACTGGCTATAAAACTTTGGGCAAGTTACTTAAGTATAAGGATACTCTGATCTGTCAGGTTATTTTAAAATTAAATAAATAAATTGTGATGATGTATCAATATACAAAGCACACTGTTGTAGTGTCTGGAACTTGTTAAAAAACTAATTTTCCTTCCTTATGTTCAGATGTTGGGTTTTTTTTTTTTGATAAATACATGAAAAGATTTGCTTTTGCATATTATACAAATATTTCTGTTCCAAATGTAGGTAACACTGTGATTCACTTAGATCAAGCATTAGCCAGAATGAAAGAATATGAACGTATGAAGACTGAGGCCGAAAATAATTCAAATATGAGATGTACCTGCAGAGTTACTGAGGATGAAGATGGTGCTGTTGCCACTACAGTTAATAATTTAGAAGGTGTGTTTTTTAGATTTATTTGAAGTAATAATCATAGTTGCATATAAAAATATTAAAAGCCAGCCAAGTATTGTGGCATATGCCTGCACTCAGGAAACTGGGGCAAGAGGATTTTAAGTTCTGTCTAGGCCAGCCTGGGCTATATACTGAGACCCTGTCAAAAAAAAAAAAAAAATTAAAAGCTCTACTTGATATATAATAGTACTTCTACTATTGCTTTCTTTCATTTATTAGCACTGCTAAACTACGTAGATTTTGCTTTGTATTATTTTAGCATAAAATTATCACAATCTTTAAAATGTTATATAAATGCATATGTATAATGTCATAGGCTTTGTTTTGCTAATACATCATTTTTCTTAAAAAAATAGAAATTCCCATTATTGAAAATCATAGTTCACAACAACCTATAAGTGAAGTTTCTACTATCCCATGTCCTAGAATTGATACTCAGCAACTGGACCGGCAAATTAAAGCAATTATGAAAGAAGTCATTCCTTTTTTAAAGGTAAACAATTATTTTTCTAATAAATCAGCTTTCCGTATTTAATTCATATGAAAGACTTCATTGTAGTAAATCTTGAAAATACAAATAAACAAAGGAGAAAAACTATAAAATCACCCATAATTTTGTTACAAGGATAGCTCTACCAGCATTTTGTGTATGCATATATACATTCTGCTTTTTTCATTTATTATATCGTAAGCATTTTTCAATGCTGTTATTTTTCTATTACATATTGTAGGGGTTACACAGTATTCATTATTTATTCAAGTGACAGAGTGCCTACTTAGCAATCACAAATTCAAACCCCAGAACGCCAAAAAAAAAAAAAAAATACATCATAGTAAATGACATTTCCCTTTTGGGCTGAGGGTATGGCTTAAGTGGTAGAGCACTTGCCTTACAATCATGAGACTTGGTGTTCAAACCCCCACCAAAGAAAGAAAAATTTGTTTATAGAATGCCTACTTTATGTCAGATTTTGTGGGCATAGCAATAAATAATTCAAGCCCTTTGCTGTCGTGGAGTTTACATACTCAGATGGAAGTATAGGCTAAAATAAGAGAGTATAAATATGCTGTCTAGCCTGGCATGGTGGTACACAACTATAAGTTCCAGACCAGCCTGGGCTCAAACCAAAACAACAACAAAAAATGTCTGTCAGACAGCACAGAGCTTATAGGGATTATTTACCTATTTTCTCCCTTTATAAGTATTTGACCATTTGAAGACAGGAACTGTTGTCTTTTATTTTTTATTGCCTGCCTTAACACATGAACTTTTTTATAATGAGCTTAGGTCAGCCTTAGCCATTATCTAATTTGGCCACCTCATTTACAGATTTATTTAGAGGGGGGAAAAAATCTGACCTGAGCAAAGGTTATAGGACCTGCTTAAGTGAATTTAATAGCAGAAAAGAGGTAAGAATCTTGAGATTACTTGATATAGTTGTTTTCTAAACTCATCCCAGAAAGTTAGCCACAGTTAAGGATTATTGTATAATTATACATGCTTTGAAAGGACAATTAAGAGACTTGCTGAAGTGGCTTGTTAAATTCAGAGATAGGGATTGATGGGGGTGTTATTAGCGTGTAGTGGGTAGGGGCCTGGGTGTTCTTAAACATCCTAGAATGCACAAGATGTCAGTCATATGAAGACATTCGAACCTTGAGTTAGAAGGTAATAGAGAAGAACTCGGATAGAAATAAATAGGGTTGTAAGTGTAGTTGAAAGTAATCAAACTGCAAACAAGAGCACAGGCAAGTTGAAGCTATAACATGGATAGTTTTACTTAATATTGAAAGGAAGTGATGAAAAGTGTTGAGTAAAGCCAATTTTTTTTCTGATCCTCATCTGGTATGGGAGGTCAAAATTGCCAGTCCTCTCAATGTGTATAGGGTGGGCATTTTGCTGTTGTTATACCTGAATCTTCCAAATATTTATCTGAAGATTGAAAAATCGAGAAGGATACATGCAAGAGAAATGAGTTTATTTTATGGGGATTGCTGTTTTTTAAAACAATATTGAAGTTTATATCCTAACCACTAGGATTTTTCTTAGGAGCACATGGATGAAATATGCTCTTCTCAACTTCTCACTTCAGTAAGACGCATGGTTTTGACCCTTACCCAGCAAAATGATGAGAGCAAAGAGTTTGTAAAGTTCTTTCACAAACAACTTGGAAGTATATTACAGGTAACAGTTTATACTTTTATGCTTTACCAGTATGTATCATCTGGCTAGGACTTTTATTTACTTTTTTGCCTTTTCTGGCATTACAAAACTATTCAGGCATCCATTTGACTGACATTTTAATACTTTGTAAATTACTCCTTTATTTAATTAAAAATTATGGTAGGACCTGCTGTGTTTTCATTTAATCATCTCTGAGACCTGTCCCAGCTATAATAAAACTTTATTGTTTTGGTTTTTCTTCTTCCCAAGTCTGAAATGTATAGGTGTTCTATGACTTTTTCTAAAGTAACTTTTTGCTAATCTGGGAAATTTTAAAACCAGAAACTAGCTATCAGTTGTAAAAACTTTTAGGGTATAATAGTAACTTTTCAAAATTTATCAATGTGTATTAATTACAGTTAACTAATAAGATGCAGTGTGATACTTCAACACATGCATAGAATATCCACTGATCAAATCAGGATAATTAGCATTTCCCTCTCCTTACCATTTCTTTGTGTTTTTGAAGCCCTTTTTACTGTATCTTTATAAAGTATAATAGGTTACTGTGAACTTTAGTCATCCCACTGTGCTGCAGAACACCAGAACTTATTCCTTCTATGTAACTGTGTTTTTGTGCCTGTTACCTGATCTGCTTTATGCCCCCTCCCGCATAGCCCAGCATCTAGTAATGACTGGTTTATATTTAGGTGTAGCTATAACTTTAAATTATATCAAGGCAGTGGTTCTCAACCAGAGAACCAAGGGAGACTTTTGCCTCCTAGAAGACATTCAGTAGTGTTTGAAGACATTTTGTTTGTCATAACAAGTAAAGTAAGAGGGAGATAGGAAGAGAAAAGGGAGGTGTAGATACCAGGTAGAGAGAGCCCAAGTATTGCTGCTAGATACCCTATAGTGTTCCTTACAACAATTGTGCAGCCCTAAATGTCAATAGTGCCCAAGTTGAAAAACCCTGGTTAATTAAGGATACCTTATTTATTTCACATAACAGACATCTTTAGCATTGTATTCATCTGAATATTTTCCCATTGAGATAGTTTAGTGATGAGTATTCTTACCCCAAGTTAGGCAATACATTTTCATTTCATATTGCAAAATTTTCCTATGAAATTTAGCCTTCTTATTTCTGAGTTTAAACTGGTTTTAGATATAGCATTATTAATGTATTAAATACTTTAAAACCCTAGGCTAGATGTGCATTTTAATCATTATTATTTTTCATTTTGTTAGTATTAAGACTAAAGTATAAGTTCAGTAATAGTCTCAAAATTATTCAGGCTCTATTTAATAGTGCCAGTATATGATTTATAAGGAATATAAAGTATCAGTGGTTTTGTACATTATAGGAATCCTTTAAATAGGATTCATTGGCAAAATTTGCTACCAGGAAACTGAAAGACTATAGAGAAGATATTCTTACAACAATGTCTGAACTATTACTAAGTATTTAAGATTACTTGGAGATAAATGTATTTTTTAGCTAGCTTATTCTTACAGGAAGAAATAACTATTTTAGTTTTTCCCTAAATCTAAGAAACTTTGACTGCTTTTACTTCATTGCTGATTTTTTACACAGGGGCAGTATACATACAGAATAAACATTAATTTATGTTAAATATTGCCTAGAATATGAAAGTTTTTTTCATGAGCTAGAGCTTAAATTACTGTCTTCTACTTTTCCTTCTAAAACCTGTTCTAGAATTTTCATAAGACACTCAGCATATGTACATACTTTCTATGATCAAAATAGAGTTTTGGGTGGGGAGTAATGGGATACTGAATATCACAGTTCACATATTTTCTAAATAGCGCAACCCATGTCTTAGAAGAAAGAATAAGGGAAATAGCTTTAATAAAAAACTGTAGAATGCACCAAACTTGTTCACATGATGATGCTGTATTTTAACTTACATAGAACTAAAGTTTTACTTTAAAACTTACTCTGAAGGAAAAGTTAAGTTATAAGGACTGATACAACTCGATAATATTTATATGTGGGAAGATTTGTATTTTTCTCTCACAGTGTTTAGTGACTTATTAAGTGTTTATGTGTTCCTTGTTTACACTGTTTGGGAATTTGGGGGAATTAGGAATCCTGTTGTGCCCAGGAATTATGTTAAGTAAGAACTAAATTTACAGATGACTAGATGTTCTTTTCTTCCTCTGCATATATTCCCAGCAAGATTATTCACTTAATAATATAGCAGTACTCTTAAATAATACTGTCCTTTCCTTAGTAATTTTAGACATTAATTTCTAGTTTTTCTAGGCATTATAATTTAATCTTACTCATCTGTATTGTCCTATTTACAATTGAAATTTGCTGTGATCTTGAAATTATTTGGTTTGTCATTGAATAGGATTCACTAGCAAAATTTGCAGGCAGAAAACTGAAAGACTGTGGAGAAGATCTTCTTGTGGAGATATCCGAAGTGTTATTTAACGAATTAGCTTTCTTTAAGCTCATGCAAGATTTGGATAGTAATAGTATAACTGTTAAACAGAGATGCAAAAGGAAAATAGAAGCGGCTGGAGTGATACAGTCTTATGCCAAAGAGGTAAGTAACATTAATTTCGATTTTAGTAATAACTATAAATATAGTCTGTAAATATAGTTCTTGATCATTATTGATAATTAAAATCATATTTGATCTCAGCAAAAGTAGTTACTTTTAGTAATAACAGGTAGTCAGATTGTAAATCCGTACGTAAGCCATCTATTGACTCTTAGGAATGACTGCAGTGGCTAAAGATCAGGAATCACACATAGGAATTGATGCTAACTGTATACTGTCAGATACGCAATTCACTTTATTATCACTTCCTTAGATCTCCAAAGAGGAGAGGAGAACTGGGATTCAGTTCTTGGCCAGCTACCTGCCATGGCTATTACCAATCCCCATAGAGTCTCCAAGAATATATATCACCTAGAGGTCATTCTTAGGCAATACACATGCTTGTTTATTGGTTAGGGCTTTATTTCACATACCTGTAGTTTCTTCTACTCTGTCAAATTAATCTTGGTCACATGTGAAGTTAGATGAATTTGTTCCTCTGCAACATGAGGCTTTTTCCCTAGATCTGCACCCTTTTCTTGACCTTGTGATTATGAGAGAGAAAGCAGGTTAAGACCCACATATATTCTTACAGTGGACAAAGTCAAGCTGTCTACTTTCACTTTCATTTTTAAATTCTAGACATAAATTAATTTCAGCATTGTAAAGAACTTGAGAATAAAACAGCATGACACTATGTTAAATTATTGGAAGGAAGTCTCCTTTCAGTCTACTTTAGATAGGCAGTCTCCCAAGGCTCTTTGAGGCTTGTGAAATATGAGCTAAGGCTTGAAAGATGACAAGGTGTTCATAAAGAAGATGAAGGGGAAGATCTTTCCATGTATAGAAAACTAAATATAATGCTAAAGTAGGATTAAGCTGTTGGAGAACAGAAAAGGCCTTGGAGGCAGAAGCATATTAAGTGGATTAGTAAGAATAATAGGAGATGAGATCACAAAGTTAGGTCAAGTTTATGAGACCTTAGAAATTACTGTGAAGACATTTTATTTTAAGCATCATAGAACCCGTGGGAAAGTGGGAAGTAGAGGAATGACATAATATGTAAAGTTTAAAATAATTGTCTGGATACATATTGAACAGGGATCATCAAGGAGATAGAAGCAGGGAGACCAGTTGTAATATATTGTAGTTGTCCTGGTAAGAAATGATAAACTAATGTCTTAGATTGGTTGCAGCAACAGATAAATTTTGATAATTGAGTCACTAAGGCATTCCAGTGGGTTAGATATGGATAATAGGAAGCAAATGCTGGTTCTTAATTTACTGGTTTGTACATCAGGATGAATGAAGTACCATTTACTGAGGTTGGGAAAATTGGAATTACCTGAATATTTTTGCTGAGTTCTGTTCAATTAATTTGCTAATAGGCCAAAAGGATTCTTGAAGGAGATCATGGCTCAACTGCTGGAGAGATTGATGATGAAGACAAAGTATGTGATAATTAATTTGTGCCTATAGATAATGCTTTTGGAACAAAACACAAAATAATATTAGCAGCTTTTAATACTTTGAGAACAAAGTATATCATCAAATATTTGTCTTTGTCATTTAAAAATAAAGCTAGACTGTCAGAAATAATACTTTGTATTTTTATTACGTGAGGACCATTATTTTTATGATGGGCTTTGTATATGCCTTTTTTATAAGGAACTTTCTTTAAGGAATTAATTTCTTAAATTATTTGTTGCCAGGACAAAGATGAGACTGAAACAGTTAAGCATACTCAGACATCTGAGGTATATGGTGACAAAGATCCCAGAAATGTAAGAGCTGATGTTTCCGATCAAGAGGAAGATGAAGAAAGTGAAGGATGTCCAGTGTCTATTAGTAAGTTTAAAGACTGCATGTTTATGGTTTTTAATAAAGAAGGATTCTTTTATAATCATTCTTTAATAAAGAATGATTCTTTTAATGAAGAACCATTAGTTCTTCATAGGTTACTTACTGAAACACTTTGGAGGAGTGTAGTGGGCATAGAATTAAATGTCAACTCTGAATTTTAATTCCATTGTATAATTCTGACTATTAGGTGTGTGACCCTGATTAATTACCTGGCCAGGCATGGTGGCTTATGAGCTGTGACATCCCAGCATTGGGATACGAGGCACACGAGGAATCCATTAATTGAAGGATCAGGGCTGAGCTGCATAGTGGTATCCTGCTCATATTTAAAAAAAAAAAAAAACTGTCCTTTCTGTACCAGTTTCTAGTACTTACCGATTTGAAGATTTCAAATACAGTCTGAATGCAGTAAATGGTAGCCATTATTAGGATTAAATGATGTGGGTGTGGTGTATACCTGTAGTCTGAAGGCTGAGGTGGGAGGAGGGAGGATATCTTGAGTCTAGGAATGTGATACCAGCCTGAGCAACATAGTAAGACCCCATCTTCAAAGGGGGAAAAAAAGAATTTTGTGAAATTTACTAAAAATTTGTGTATTAATCAACTTAGATTTGTCTAAAGCTGAAACTCAGGCTTTAACTAATTATGGAAGTGGAGAAGATGAGAATGAGGATGAAGAAATAGAAGAGTTTGAAGAAAGACCTGTAGATGTCCAGACTTCACTTCAGGCTAACACTGAAACGACAGAAGAAAATGAACATGACAGTGAGGTATTCCACAATAGATAAACATACTTTCCATTAGTATTACTTCAACTCTTGAAAGACAGAGTCTTCTGGAAGATGTCAAAATTAGTTTTTCCCATTCTTGTTTTTAGGCGTACGACCTCTTTAATGTATTTATTAGAATTTGTATTTTAATTTTGTATTTAACAATGTTTAAAAAATTATTTTGTAAGAAGTCTTAAAAACTGTGAGATACTTTAGAACATCTAGGGTTTTTTAAAATCACTATGTTTTTTCTTTTTTTTTTTTTCATTTTTCTTTTATTATTCATATGTGCATACAAGGCTTGGTTCATTTCTCCCCTGCCCCACCCCTCCCTTACCACCCACTCCCCCCCTCTCCCCCCCTCAATACCCAGCAGAAACTATTTCGCCCTTATTTCTAATTTTGTTGTAGAGAGAGTATAAGCAATAATAGGAAGGAACAAGGGTTTTTGCTGGTTGAGATAAGGATAGCTATACAGGGCATTGACTCACATTGATTTCCTGTGCGTGGGTGTTACCTTCTAGGTTAATTCTTTTTGATCTAACCTTTTCTCTAGTACCTGTTCCCCTTTTCCTATTGGCCTCAGTTGCTTTAAGGTATCTGCTTTAGTTTCTCTGCGTTAAGGGCAACAAATGCTAGCTAGTTTTTTAGGTGTCTTACCTATCCTCACCCCTCCCTTGTGTGCTCTCGCTTTTATCATGTGCTCATAGTCCAATCCCCTTGTTGTGTTTGCCCTTGATCTAATGTCCACATATGAGGGAGAACATACGATTTTTGGTCTTTTGGCCAGGCTAACCTCACTCAGAATGATGTTCTCCAATTCCATCCATTTACCAGCGAATGATAACATTTCGTTCTTCTTCATGGCTGCATAAAATTCCATTGTGTATAGATACCACATTTTCTTAATCCATTCGTCAGTGCTGGGGCATCTTGGCTGTTTCCATAACTTGGCTATTGTGAATAGTGCCGCAATAAACATGGATGTGCAGGTGCCTCTGGAGTAACAGTCTTTTGGGTATATCCCCAAGAGTGGTATTGCTGGATCAAATGGTAGATCGATGTCCAGCTTTTTAAGTAGCCTCCAAATTTTTTTCCAGAGTGGTTGTACTAGTCTACATTCCCACCAACAGTGTAAGAGGGTTCCTTTTTCCCCGCATCCTCGCCAACACCTGTTGTTGGTGGTGTTGCTGATGATGGCTATTCTAACAGGGGTGAGGTGGAATCTTAGTGTGGTTTTAATTTGCATTTCCTTTATTGCTAGAGATGGTGAGCATTTTTTCATGTGTTTTTGGCCATTTGAATTTCTTCTTTTGAGAAAGTTCTGTTTAGTTCACTTGCCCATTTCTTTATTGGTTCATTAGTTTTGGGAGAATTTAGTTTTTTAAGTTCCCTGTATATTCTGGTTATCAGTCCTTTGTCTGATGTATAGTTGGCAAATATTTTCTCCCACTCTGTGGGTGTTCTCTTCAGTTTAGAGACCATTTCTTTTGATGAACAGAAGCTTTTTAGTTTTATGAGGTCCCATTTATCTATGCTATCTCTTAGTTGCTGTGCTGCTGGGGTTTCATTGAGAAAGTTCTTACCTATACCTACTAACTCCAGAGTATTTCCTACTCTTTCTTGTATCAACGTAAGAGTTTGGGGTCTGATATTAAGATCCTTGATCCATTTTGAGTTAATCTTGGTATAGGGTGATATACATGGATCTAGTTTCAGTTTTTTGCAGACTGCTAACCAGTTTTCCCAGCAGTTTTTGTTGAAGAAGCTGCTATTTCTCCATCGTATATTTTTAGCTCCTTTGTCAAAGATAAGTTGCTTATAGTTGTGTGGCTTCATATCTGGGTCCTCTATTCTGTTCCACTGGTCTTCATGTCTGTTTTTGTGCCAGTACCATGCTGTTTTTATTGTTATTGCTTTGTAATATAGTTTGAAGTCAGGTATTGTGATACCTCCTGCTTTGTTCTTTTGACTGAGTATTGCCTTGGCTATTCGTGGCCTCTTGTGTTTCCATATAAATTTAACAGTAGATTTTTCAATCTCTTTAATGAATGTCATTGGAATTTTGATGGGAATTGCATTAAACATGTAGATTACTTTTGGGAGTATCGACATTTTTACTATGTTGATTCTACCAATCCATGAGCATGGGAGATCTCTCCACTTTCTATAGTCTTCCTCAATCTCTTTCTTCAGAAGTGTATAGTTTTCCTTGTAGAGGTCTTTCACATCTTTTGTTAGGTTTACACCTAGGTATTTGATTTTTTTGAGGCTATTGTAAATGGAATTGTTTTCATACATTCTTTTTCCGTTTGCTCATTGTTAGTGTATAGAAATGCTAATGATTTTTCTATGTTGATTTTATATCCTGCTACCTTGCTATAGCTATTGATGATGTCTAGAAGCTTCTGAGTAGAGTTTTTTGGGTCTTTAAGGTATAGGATCATGTCGTCTGCAAATAGGGATATTTTGACAGTTTCTTTACCTATTTGTATTCCTTTTATCCTTCTTTTGCCTAATTGCTCTGGCTAGGAATTCCAGTACTATGTTGAATAGGAGTGAGATAGTGGGCATCCTTGTCTGGTTCCCTGATTTTAGAGGGAATGCGTTTTAATTTTTCTCCGTTAAGTATAATGCTGCTGAGGTTTGCAGTATTACGTAGCTTTATACTATGGTTAGAGAATACTTCCATTACTATTCCTAGTTTTCTTAAGTAGCTTTTATCATGAAATGGTGTTGGATCTTATCAAAGGCTTTTTCTGCATCTATTGAGATGATCAAGTGGTTTTTGTCTTTGCTTCTGTTAATGTGGTTTATTACGTTTATTGATTTTCATATGTTGAACCACCCTGCATCCTGGGATGAAGCCTACTTGGTCGTGGTGAATAATCTTTTTGATGTGTTGCTGAATTGTTTGCCATTATTTTGTTGAGGATTTTTGCATCAATGTTCATTAAGGAGATTGGCCTATAGTTCTCCTTTTTGGAGGTGTCTTTGCCTGGTTTTGGGATAAGTGTAATACTGGCTTCATAAAATGTGTTGGCAGTTTTCCTTCCCTTTCTATTTCGTGGAACAGTTTAAGGAGGGTTGGTATCAGTTCTTCTTTAAAGGTCTGATAGAATTCAGCAGAGAATCCATCAGGTCCTGGACTTTTCTTTTTGGGGAGACTCTTGATTGCTGCTTCATTTCATTTTGTGTTATAGGTCTATTCAGGTGATTAATTTCCTCTTGGTTCAGTTTTGGATGATCATATGTATCTAGAAATCTGTCCATTTCTTTAGATTTTCAAATTTATTTGAATATAGGTTCTCAAAGTAGTCTCTGATGATTTCCTGGACTTCCATGTTTTGTTGTTATCTCCCCTTTTGCATTCCTGATTCTACTAATTTGGGTTTTTTCTCTCCTCATTTTAGTCAGGTTTGCCAGGGGTCTATCGATCTTGTTTATTTTTTCAAAGAACCAACTTTTTGTTTCATTAATTCTTTGTATGGTTTTTTTGGTTTCTATTTCATTGATTTCAGCTCTTATTTTTATTATTTCTCTCCTTCTATTTGTTTTGGGATTTGCTTGTTCTTGTTTTTCTAGGAGTTTGAGATGTATCATTAGGTCATTGATTTGGGATCTTTCAATCTTTTTAATATATGCACTCATGGCTATAAACTTTCCTCTCAAGACTGCCTTAGCTGTGTCCCATAGGTTCCGGTAGGTTGTGTTTTCATTTTCATTGACTTCCAGGAACTTTTTAATTTCCTCTTTTATTGCATCGATGATCCATTCTTCATTAAGTAATGAGTTATTTAGTTTCCAGCTGTTTGTATGTTTTTTGTCTTTACTTTTGTTGTTGAGTTCTACTTTTACTGCATTGTGGTCAGATAGTATGCACGGTATTATTTCTATTTTCTTATATTTGCTGAGGCTTGCTTTGTGCCCTAGGATATGATCTATTTTGGAGAAGGTTCCATGGGCCGCTGAGAAGAATGTATATTGTGTAGAGGTTGGATTAAATGTTCTGTAGACATCTACTAGGTCCACTTGATCTATTGCATATTTTAGATGTTGGATTTCTTTATTGAGTTTTTGTTTGGATGACCTATCTATTGATGATAATGGGGTGTTAAAGTCTCCCACAAACCACTGTGTTGGCGTTTATATATGCTTTTAGGTCTTTCAGGGTGTGTTTGATGAAATTGGGTGCGTTGACATTGGGGGCATACAGATTGATGATTATTATTTCCTTTTGGTCTATTTCCCCTTTTATTAGTATGGAATGTCCTTCTTTATCTCGTTTGATCAATGTAGGTTTGAAGTCTACTTTGTCAGTGATAAGTATTGCTACTCCTGCTTGTTTCGGGGGCCATTGGCTTGGTAAATCTTCTTCCAGCCTTTCATCCTAAGCATATGCTTATTTCTGTCGTGAGATGAGTCTCCTGTAAGCAACAAATTGTTGGATCTTCTTTTTAATCCATTTTGTCAACGGTGTCTTTTGATGGGTGAATTAAGTCCATTAACATTAAGCCTTAGTACTGATAGGTATGTGGTGATTCCTGCCATTTAGTTGTCTTAGTTGTTTGAAGGTTTGATTGTGTGTATGTAACTTGATGTTACTCTCTACTGTCTTGCTTTTTCTTATCCTGTGGTTTGGTGCTGCCTGCCTTTTCATGGTTAAGTTGGGTGTCACTTTCTGTGTGCAGGATCCCTTGCAGAATCTTTTGTAATGGTGGCTTTGTGGTCACATATTGTTTTAGTTTCTGCTTATCATGGAAGACTTTTATTGCTCCATCTATTTTGAATGATAGCTTTGCTGGGTAGAGTATCCTGGGGTTGAAGTTATTTTCATTCAGTGCCCGGAAGATCTCACCCCACGCTCTTCTTGCTTTTAATGTTTCTGTTGAGAAGTCTGCTGTGATTTTGATGGGTTTACCCTTGTATGTTACTTGTTTTTTCTCTCTTACAGCCTTCAATATTCTTTCCTTAGTTTCTGAACTTGTTGTTTTAATGATGATATGTCGTGGAGTAGTTCTATTTTGATCTGGTCTGTTTGGTGTCCTGGAGGCCTCTTGCATTTGTATGGGAATATCTTTCTCTAGATTTGGGAAATTTTCCGTTATTATTTTGTTGAATATATTGCGCATTCCCTTCGCTTGCACCTCTTCTCCTTCTTCGATGCCCATGATTCTCAAGTTTGGTCTTTTCATGGAGTCAGTGAGTTCTTACATTTTCTTTTCACAGGTCTTGAGTTGTTTAATTAACAACAATTTCCTCCCACTGCCACTTTCACAAGAGTCCCCACTCCTGGTTGCTGAGTGTTTATTTACACTCCCAGGAAGGCTTACCTTCCCCCAATCTTCAGCACTCAGGGCGCCCCACCCTCTTTCCAGCGTGTCTTAACTGTTGTTATTGCTTATTACTCAGTTTCTCTTTTTTTTTTCCCGGGTGGAGGTCAGTCTGTCCAGGGGCTATGCTGCTCTGGCCCAGGCTTGTCTGTGGGGCTACCGCAGTACCGCGAAGCCCACCTGGTCCACGTCTTCCCAAGCCGTATGGGCGCCAGCCACTGGCGGTCCCGGGGGCCCTCCTCGTTTCTCCGTTTAACGTGAAGTGGAGATTCTCTGCACCGGCTGGAGATGTGGAGGGGTCAAAGTTATGCCTTTTCTCGGTGATTATGCCTGCAAAGTGTGTCTCCAGCGTCTCTCCAAGATTTCACTATAGGAGGGTCGCTTTTTGCTTCCTACCTCTAGCCGCCATCTTGGAATCTACTATGTTTTTCTTTTACATGACCATAGTTCGATCACAAAAATAAGATCATTTCCTTTTCTACCTTTACCTCATCCTACTCAAAAGGCAACACCTTGTGTAATTTCTTCTAGTATTTGCCTCCATATTTCTGAATTGTGTATGTTTTGGTTAAACTTACACTTAACCAAATATTTAGATTTAACCAAACTCTGTAAATATTACTGACTGCTAAACCAAGTACACATTGTTACCGCTTAACTTCATACACCTTTATTTGTGTGTGTGTGTTTTGCTAGGGATTAAACCCAGGGCCTTGTGTATGCTAGGCAAACGCTTAACCACTCAGCTATATCCCCAGCCCCCACCTTTCTTCTTAATTTAATAATTCTTTCAATTTTTGTTGATTTTCTTTGAACATATTCCAGGTTTTCTGATACATCCTTCAGTAGCTGAATAAACCTCCCAGCAGAATTTTGTACATGAACTAAATTTCACATTTTTTTCCTTCCTTGAACATTTCCCTACCCTGCTACATTCTACATTTGGCTATTCTTTAGATCTAATGAATAACTACCACCTTAGAAATCCTGTTTGTTCATTTATCTTCTTTTTCATACTTGTTTCTAGAATCCAATCTTTTGTCTTTCTCTTTCTTATTTAATGGCCTCATTTTAAGGGAACATATCTTCTAGAAAGTAACTTTGAAAAAGTGCATAAAACATAAGTCTTTTGAGATGTAGCACGTCTAAGAAAATCTTAGCCAGGTGGTGGTGCTCACACCTGTGATCCTAGGTACTCAGGAGGCAGAGATAGGAGGACCGTGTTTGAAGCCCAGCCCCAGCAAATAGTTCCAGAGACCATATCTTGAAAAAAAGAAACCTTTACAAAAAAGGGTTGGCAGAGTAGCTCAAGCCCGAGTATCACAAAAAAAGAAAAAAGAAAGATCTCAGTTCCTTCAGTTCTTCTGTGTTAAGAATATTTTCCTCAGATCTTTAAAGGTGCTACTTCATTGTGTTAAGCTCCAGTGTTGCTGTAGCGGAGTACCAGGCCTTAGTTGTCATCCTTTGTGTATTTCTTTTTCTCCCCTCCCTACTCCAAAGTTTTTCCCCCAGAATTCTGAAATTTTCTAATAATAGACTTTGTTGTGAGGCTTTTTTTCCATGTACTCTATGGGGTATTCAGTGGATTTTTTTTTTTTTTTCAATTTATATCCTTTCCTTCAACTAGGTAATTTTCTTTATTTCTTCCCCCACATTTTCTCTTCTCTATTAGATATTGTTAGCTCTTGTGGGTTGATCATCTCATTTCTCCTCTTTTCCTATTATTGTCCCATTACTTTATCTTTTTTTACTTTCTGGAAGATTTCCTTGGCCTTAAAACTTGTATGAAATTCTTTTTATTTCAACTGTCATATTTTTTACTTCTAAACACCTTTTAAAATTTTTTCTGCTTATTTTTTATAGCATTGTGTTAGTTCATATAAGCAATGTCTTATCTACCTGTGGGCTTTCTTCAAATATTTGCTGAAACTTGGATGTTTATATTAAAGAATGATATACCCAAAAAGTTGGTTTGGGTTCTTTTTTTCTTTGTAGAGCATTTAGATAGATAGCCAACTTTTTGTAAGAAACTCCCAAATGTCAGTGTTGGGTTTTTTTGGTGAATTTTTTTTTTATTTTGAGTGGTTTAACTTGAAAGAAAGGTTTTTCTTCTCCAGCCTGTGTGTGTAAATAAGCTTGACTGCTGGTGTTAGGGAAGTAAATGCGGGAATGAGGCTGAGTGCCCCAACATTACATAGTCTTGCACTAAATTCTTCTGCTTTCAGTAGGACATTTTACCACATGCTCATTTGTGCCTTTTTTACCCCACCTCGCCCCCAAGTTGTGGGCATACTAATTTATTTTCTCTGAAATATAGATTATTTTCTCTGAAATATAATCTATGAGATTTGGCAATGAGAACCTAGGAGTCCCCGCTTTTCTTGAACTGTTTTAAATAACTACTGCCACTGGCACCTAGTTTTCATCATCAGCCCCTACTCCTTCCTTCCTTTGTACAATCTTCTAGATTCTACGAAGGTAAATATCAATTTTTGTTTCCTCCCCCTGCTGAAGGCACTTGGCTTTGCTCATCTTCCTCACCTCCTGTTCACTTCCTCTCCTCTACTCTTAATGTTTATATATATATATATAGAGAGAGAGAGAGAGAGAGAGAGAGATATCTTTTGGTTTTATTTAAGATATGGTCTGAGAAAAATAATAAAATAAAATTATTTTATTCTAGTTCTCTGAATTGTTTTGTTTGTCTAAGAAGAAAAGTAAACCTTTTTACTTAGCCATCTTGTAAGCCTCCTTAAAATAATCTTAGAAGGTATTTTTAAATTCCCTAGTTTGAAGATCTGAGGCTAGACAAAAACCATATAATTATAACCATCTCTTTGGTGATCACATATTTTAAGGCCTTCCTATTAAAACATCTTTTTTAGGTTCTACAACATGACCTTGAAAAAACAGCAGAAAGCACAAATTTCCCATCAGAACAAGAGCCCATTAGTAAAGGTAAGAAAACTGTTTATTTTGGTGGGACTGGGGTTTGAACTCAGGGCTTCACACTTGAAAAGCAAGTGTGCTCTATTGCATGAGCCACACCTCTAGTCCATTTTACTCTCTTTATTTTTTTTGGAAATGGAGTCTCACAAGCTGTTTGCCTGGGCTGGCTCTAAACCACAATCTTCCCAATCTCAACCTCCTAAGTAACTAGAATTACAGGTGTGAGCCACCGGCAACTGTTCAGTTTTAAGATTACTTAAAATATCTTTTGTGTGCTTAAAACTATAAAAAAAAAATTACTTTTCTACTGTTAAAAAAATTTTGGTAGAAAATATAAGAGGACTTTGTTTCTGCAAATAGAAGGTTTTTTAAAGTTAAGAAATGTTTACTTGGAGAAAAATTCTCCAAGGAGTATCTTTTAGATACATGTAAATGGGGGTAATTTTCTTTTTTCCTTTCTTCTTCTCTGTTCTCGCCTCCCCTGTCCTCCCCTTCCCTTCTCTCTTTTCCCTTCCCCTCCACTTCCCTTTCCTCTCCTCTCCTCTCTCCTTTCCTTTCCCCCCATTCCTGGTGACTTCTAGCCGTCTCATTTTTAAATGTTCCTGGATGGTTCTGTTCAACTATATTTGGGAGCCATGGCTAAAGGAAATTTGGAGTTGCCTTTTCTTTTGGGTTCTAAGTGTCTTGATTACTCCATTCCTGTATATTGTCTTTATTTGATGTAGTAGAGAATAAAATTTAATAACTACTGCATTTCAGTGATGTTACAACTTTCTTTTGATGGCAGGTGATGAAGATGATTCTCCTGTGAAACCCTGTTACCTCAACATCTTGGAAAATGAGCAACCTTTAAATAGTGCTGCCCCTAAGGACTCGCTTACCATTATCGATTCATCTAAACAGCCTGACCCTTTGCCATTACCTTTAACTGAAATTGAAACCTTAGTGCCTAGAGTCAAAGAAGTTAAATCTGCTCAGGAAACCCCTGAGAGCTCTCTGGCTGGAAGTCCTGATACTGAATCTCCAGTGTTAGTGAATGACTATGTATGTATCATTTATAATTCCATATATTTTGGCTTTTTGTTTCTGCGCACATTTCTTTACATTTTTCAGCATGTAAATCAAACTCCACTTTGTATTTAGGTTTAGAACCTGTCAAAACATTTTTATTTCATATTGATATTTCAACTTTAGCAGAAGAGTAATAGTAAATTAAGATGAACATCTCAAAACGAACAAGCTATTTATAGTTTTGATAACCAAAGAGATAAATTATAGGTGGCAGCATTAAGAGAGTTCATTTCATATTCAGATCTGAAGTCATAATGATACATCACTATCTCCTACCTACCCTTTTTTTTTTACATGAAGAGATTTGTTTTTACATTTTTTTATTAGCATGTATTAGTTGGACAAAAGAGTAGTAATGTTTCCATACATCAAATTACCCCTTCTATCACTTTTTTTTATTTTTCCCTTTTCATACATGTGTATAAGTATATGTATACATATTCACTACCACCTCTTCATCCTCTCCTTTTCCCTCCCCCTATCCACTGGTACCTACCCCAAAACAACCTGTTTGACATTACTATCATTCATTTTTAAGGACTAGATTCCACCTACCTAGCCATTTTTGACTTCTCAGCTATTTAGGACATTTCAAATTTTTGGATAAATCTCAAGGTTTAAATTTGGGGTATGAAATAAAAATTTTTGATAGTAAAAGCCCTTATCTCTATACAATGAACAGCATAAAAATATGCTAGAAAAATCTGCATTAATGATAGTAAGTACAGTTAAGTTTGTTTCAATTAAACTTTATAGAAAGCAGGTTATTTTGAGGGCCTTTGGTTTTATACTTACCAACAAAAATAAAGATTTATAACATAGTATTTAAATTCAACAAGTACTTTTATATCTAAGGAATATGCGTTACTTTTTAAAAGTTAAATTGGTTTTCTTCTTAAAGATATTTATAATTATGATTTCATAATACCTCAGAAAAAAGGGAAAGTAACTCTGTTAAGCTGTTTTCTTTGTCTCACTGCCACTGAACCTAGAATTTAAAACTGAAAATTACCTGATTTTTTTCTCACTATTTGACCAGTGTGTAGAGTGGGCATAGGAGATACTCAATTGAAATTACCTTGAAGTTACATGATAGAGGGTCTTGAATTTAAATTTTAGACAAAGATCCCTACTGAAAGTTTTTACATAAGAAAGTGAAATGGTCAAACTTATGGTCTGTGAAAATTAATCTGATGACTATGATGAGTTGTCAAGGAAGGTATATTATAATGGCATCATCAGTAAAAAATACAAGCTGAATAATAGCAGATGGGTGAGAACGTTGCAAGAAAAAGTAGCTCAAATGGTATAGCACCTGTCTATCAAGTACAAGGTCCTTAGTTCAACTCCATTACCACCAAAAGAAGTATAATAAAAAAAAATTTTAAGAGGCAGACTGGCTCAAGTGACAGAATACCTGTCTGCAAATACAAATAACTGAGTTCAACCCTCAGTACTGCAAAAGGAAAGTCTAGGCCAGGTCCCAGTGGTTCATGCCTGTAGATTACTCTGGAGACAGAGATCTGGAAGATGGTGTTTTGAGGCCAACCCCAAGGGAAAAATTTCGTTATAACTTATTTGAACCAGTAGTTTGGCTGCATAGTGGTGCTCACCTGCCATCTCAGCAGTGGTAGAAAACATAAATAGGAGGATCATGGTCCAGGCTGGCTTGGGCAAAAAGCTAAAGGCCCTGAGTTCAAACCCTCACCCCCTAAAAAAATAATAATAGGAAGAACTAGAGAGAGGAAAGATCAAGTTTAAGGAAAACACAGTTTGAGATGATCACAAAAGTAAATTGCTAAATTCATACCTCATGGTTATAACTGAACCTCAATAGAGTTGATAGTACTGAGAAGTTTGTAATTCCTATGTTCTGCTAGATAGAGCTCTGATGCATTCTGTAAACATTAAGAAATAAGGGCTGAGAATATAGCTCAGTGATAGAGCACTTGCCTATTGTGTGCCAAGGCACTGGGTTTGATCTCCAGTACAGTTTAAAAAAAAACCAAAAAGCAAGGAAAGAAGAGGGAGGGAGGGATTGTTACTGTATAGGGCTTTTGTTTCTTTGTTTTGTTTTGTTTTTGGCAATACTGTGGTTTGAACTCGGGGCTGCATGCTTGCTAAGCAAGCACCCTACCACTTGAGCCACTCTGCCAGCCCTGTTTTGTATTAGGTTTTTTTGAGGTAGGGTCTCACCAACCGTTTCCCCAGGCTGACCTCGAACTGTGGTTCTCCCGATCTCCACCTCCTCAGTAGCTAGGATTACAGGCATGAGCCACCGGCGCTGAGCCAAAAGCGCAACAGTATGCTCGCAGCTGTAGCCCTTCTTATGAACTACCAGTTTCTGATTTGATTTAAAAAATCTTGAGTATAGAAGAACCAAACATGATAGAATTGCTGCTATATAAGAATGCACTCTATTTCTTGGCATAGATGACTCCAGAGGGAGAATGCAGGTTTGTTTTTGTTTTTTTTTTTTTTCATTAAATATATTTTACAGGAAGCAGAATCTGGTAATATAAGTCAAAAGTCTGATGAAGAAGACTTTGTGAAAGTTGAAGATTTACCACTCAAATTGACAATATATTCAGAGGTATTTGGCTCTTTAATTAAATTGTCTTTATATAACAAATATTGTTGTGATGAAAACATGATTTATATTTTTAATTTTCATTCCCAAGGCAGATCTAAGGAAGAAAATGGTAGAAGAAGAACAGAAAAACCATTTATCTGGTGAAATATGTGAAATGCAGACTGAAGAATTAGCTGGAAATTCTCAGACACTGAAAGAACCTGGTAAAAGTTACCAATTCTAATTTTATTGAACCATGAGCTTAACCATTTTGTTTTTCAAATGTGCTGCTAGTACTTGGAAGATTTAAGTTGTCTACTATTGGAAATGATGCATTCTGTAAAAATTTTAGTTCAGATCCTTTAGTGAAATAAATATACATGCACATAGTTTAACAAAGAAAGATACAAAAGAGCTAATGGTGAATATCATATACCCACTTCTTTTAATTACTACTTTTTATTTCTTCAGATCTATTCTTTATAATGTTTTATGATTTCTCTTAATATTTAAAATTCATATAATAGTTCTCATCTCTCCTATAACAAGTAGGTTCATATTATTTTTGACTTTTTGTTTTTTACCTTTGTTATTTTAAATACACACACTTTCCTATTTCTATCAGCTTTGGTCATTACCTTTCTGCTCTTCTCTCTTTGCTTTTGTCTTTTTGTTCAGTTTATCTCTTATAGTTTTAAGTAAACATACATTTTGTTTTTATAACTGATAATTAAATCTTAATATACTTAATCTCCTATTTTTCTGTATAAGTAACATTTATTATAAAGCCATGTGATAGTGTCAAATTTCTTTCTTTGGGTGTTAGAGTCACTCCAGAATGTTTTTTGCATTAAGATTAAAGGATTTTCTTTTTGTTATTCTCCATCAGTTCATCATTTGTTTAAAATCATGTATTTTTTTTTTTTTCCTTCTTTTTGTTCTTCTGGAAATAGGGTGAAAAGAAAAAGCTGACCATTCAGATACCAGACCTTCATTCAGTTAAAGCCTCGTTCTGTTTTAGTACATGGCACCCATATCAACTGCAACCTGTCCTAATGTGCTAGGCTATAGCTCCCTCCTCTTTTCCAGTATGTTCCCATCTGCTTTGGGCATTCTGGTAATTTGGTAGTATCTCTTGTTCTCTGTTCTTTCCAGCTGCTCTTTTGTTTGTCTGCAGTTAATCATTTTTACAGTTCCTTTTTTTCTGGTGAGGATTTTGTACCTACAAGAAGTATCTGCTCAGTCTGCCATCATGAAACAGAAACCCTCACCTATTCTCTTTCACTGTTTGTTATCAGGGAATGCTAGATAAATTAGGATTTCCTTTACAATAACCTTATATGAAAAGTAAAAGCTTTTACAGAAGAGAATATTAAAAGTAAAATTAATAAGTAACATCTTAATTCAGTACATATTTATAAAACATTAATTATTATTCTGTTTTTCAGAAGCAGTGGGAGCCCAGAGCATGTAAGATTTCTTCAGAGACTCATCTAACTCTCTCTTTACATAGTCAGTGCATATATGAAAATGACACTAAATAAACATCTGCTTTGTTCTACATAAAAATGTAAATTAGTTTGACACTGCATTTTTAATAGGTGTTCTAATTTCTGCCCATGGCAGTTTAAAACATCAGAAAACGAATCCTGGACTGATTCAAGCCTTGATACACTGTGGTTTTTTTATTTGTTTGTTCGCTCATTTGTTTGTTTCTTTTCTTTTATGGTCTTCATTTTTCTCATTGTGATGTTTGGTAGTGTTAAGTTTAAAATGTAGTTTTAAATAAAGTTTGAACTTAACCCGTAAAGTATCTTTTTTGGAAATTATGTTGAATGCTATACAACAAATTACTGTTATACATAATTAGATATATTATTTATTCTAAAGCCAGTCTTTTATTAATTAATGCCAGTGTTGCTGCCATTGGGTTTAATGTTCTCTTAGCTACCAGCTGGTCCTCTGTAAGAACAGGGAGGATTACAAAGGTAACCAGGGTGCTGGAGGTGTGGCTCAAGAGGTAGAGTACCTGCTTTGCAACTCTGAAGTCCTGAGTTCAAATCCTAGCCCCACCAAAAAAAAAAGGTAGCCAGGATTATTTGCGAAGTTATCATAGATTATGTGTAAATAATTCATACAAATTGCCTAAGAAGTTTAGAGCGTATTACCTTAGTACCTAGAATTTACATAATTATCTATTAGGTGAATACTTTCCAGAATTTCAAATCCTATCTATGTTGCCTCAGTCTACAATTTTTAAACTAAGCTTTATATAATTAGATAGTATTTCTGCAGCCAAGTAAAATTCTAATTAATTTAAAATTAAAATCCAATTTCTTTTATGTAGTGATAAATAGAACTAAATTTATGTAACAGAATTAAGATTTTGTATGCCTTTGGACAAATTTGCCTTTTGAGATGATAATTTGAAACCAAAACCTAGTGAGAGAGAAGCAGGTTCACAGGTGAGGTATTGAAGTATTGACTTCTTCAAGTAAACCAATTTTAAAAGATGATTTTCCTTCTTATCCCATACTTGCCATAGGCCCAGTAAAATATCACAGAACAAGTTAACAATATATAAGTTAATCTTACAGGTTCTTCCCTGAGTAAAGCTAGAATAATAATTAGTTCTGAGCTCCATGTAGTCTTTAAAATTTGTTAACAATTTACAAGAAAAGAACTTGTTTGATATTCCTTTTAAAGTCTGACTTGCTCGCTATCTTAGTATAAGCTATAATATCCAAATAGGGAATAGGGAGTGAGGATTTTCCTATGAGGATACTTATTGTATTGTTCCTTAACTTAAATTACGTTAGACCTATACTTTCAACTTTAATACCTATTTGGAAAATTACCAATCCACAATCAGGAACTTTTGCCGAGTTGGAGTGACTTTAGTGACGTTGGAACAATAATTTTCATTATATGTATAGGCAAATTCTATATTTTCTAACTAAACAAGAAGAGGGAGAGACTTCATTTTGGTACTCAAGCCAGGCCTTACATATTGCAGCTCTCTCTTGCTCTTTGTCTGCATGCATATTAAAGATAGATAGGAGTCTGGGCACAGTGTTGCATGTCTGTACTCCCTGTACTCAGGAGGCCAAGATAGGAGGATTTTCAGTTTGAGGCCACCTTGAACTACATAGTGATTTCCAGGCTAGCCTGGACTATACAACAAGATCTAGTCTCCAAAACAAACCAGAAAAGACAGAGTCAGAGGAAAAAATGAAATTAATACATTACTTTTTACCATGGTACCTATAAACCTTTCAAACCAGCGTATTTTGACTTGTGTTACAACTGATAGCTAGTCTCTTGTCTTCCTGTTTTAATAGATAATTTAGTTTTAAAATACACAGGGATTGAGATTAATATTTTCCTTAGTAACTATTTTTAAAGGGTGTTAGACATTAAATAGTCCTGCTTGTCTTAATTTATAAGTTAAAACTTTGGTTAGAGGTAGAGGAAGAAAAGTTCAAAATGAAGGAGGTAGACGCTTACACAGGTTGAGATAATACCTAAATTAGAGCTAGCCAGACTGTGACTGTGGCGGTACTGTGTATTTTGTAACAATTCACTTTGATAAATGCTTTTTCACTGTTAATAAATGTATATCCTACATACAACCTTGAATTGCCTTTTTATTTAAATTGAGATAATCACTTACACTTTCTAATTTATGCCAGCATTATGACTTATTTGACGGTTGTACTATAAAAAAATGATAGGAAAAAATGACATATTCTAGCCAAAAAGATTTCACTTGAGACCATTTTTTTCCCTCAGTGGTACTAGGGTTTGAACTCAAGGCCTTACTTGCCAGGCAGGCACTCATTTTGTGTTGGGTATTTTAGAGATTGGATCTCATGAACTATTTGCCCAGGACTGGCTTTGAACCATGATACTCCTGATCTCTGCCTCCTGAATAGCTGGAATTACATGTGTGAGCCACTGGTTCCTGGCTAAGACGATTTTTCTTACAGTATACATACATTTGCTTTATTATTTCTTTATTACCTTTATATTTTGTTCTGAGACTATAAATGTTAGATACAGTCTAGTAAAGTCTGTATGTAGAGGAGAAATGAGAATGAGACTTGGGAGGAAGAAATCTATTGTGCTCAAAGCACATGGCACATAGGGTCATAGGGGAGACATCAGATTTTTGTCAGGAGACAGAAGACAGGAGCCCAGGAAAGCTAACTAAAGCCTTTATTGAGGTTTCCTGAGGAAAGGCGTAGTTTGGGCTATAAGGGTGGTATCTAGTTGCCTGGTACCTTTTCTGGGACGATGCAAACCAGGGAAAATACTGAGGTGTAAGAATTAGATGAGGCATTGGTTGGCATTATCTCATGAAAGACCTGTTTCTGGCCTGGCCTTTACTACTAATCTCTAAGAAAGCTGGACCTCTGAACTGGGATGGGCTTGTCCTAACTAGCAAGCTTTTTAAGATGTCAAAGCATCATAAAATACAGAAAGTAGAATGTGTGAATAATGCATACATAATGTAGAAAACATTCTCATATTTACTCAAAAACTGGCAAGTTTTATGTCCATTTTTAGTGTATAAAAACTCATCTGTCAAGAGGTATTGGCTCTGGATTTCACTTATTTCACTACACAAATGAGGTTCCCTGGTCACCTCGACTGGAGCAGCCAGCATTTTGTGTTGTGGTTGCACAACACTGATTGTTACTCTAATATTCCCTGTCTTTACATGTCTGCTTTCTTCCTCAGATTCCCTGTTGTCACTAGCCGGTTCAGTTTCTGAAAATTAAGGAATAGAATGAACCTCTGTGCCTACAAATGCCTTTGATGCGCACATATAAGAGAGAAATAATTCTACATGTTCCCATAACAACAATAGTAAACCCCCCAAAAAACCACAAAAACATTAGATCAGCAATTTACAGTCCTTGATTTTGGTTGTTTTAAAAACTAATCACCAGATAAAATTTCCACACCAGTAGTCTTCTTTTTCATATCAAATATATTTCCTGCATTAAAACTTTTCTTAAGTAGAGTTATTTATTATCTGAAAACAGGGATGGCTTCTTTTCCTATTTGTGCCCTCTTATCTCTTTTTCTTGCCTTACTTTTCTACCTGAGATCCGAAGTACTATATTGAGTAAGAGTTGTTAGAGTTGACACTCTTTTTTCCTGATTTTAGAGGAAATGCTTTCAGTTTTCTTCCACTTAGTATAATGTTGGTCCATTGGTTTGATATACATACCCTTTCTTATGTTAAGGCATGATCTTTCTGTTCCTGTTTCTTCAGAGCTTTTATCGTGAAGGGATATTGGATTTTGTCAGAGATTTTTTTCTGCATCTATTGAGATGATCATGTGGTTTTTATTCTTGATTCTGTTTATGTACTGTGTTACATATATTGATTTGCACATGTTGAACTGTCCTTGTATTCCTGGTCTGAAACCAAGTTGATTGTGGTATATGATCTTTTTAAAGTTTTGTTCAATTAGATTTGCAGGGATTTTATGGAAGATTTTTGCATCTATATTCATCAAAGAAATTAGTCTATAGTTTCTGTTCTGTTTTTATCCAGTTTTGGTATCATGGTAGTACTGGCTTTGTAGAATGAATTTGGAAGTATTTCTTCCTTTTCTATTTTATGGAATGGTTTTGAGAAGCATTGGTGTTAATTCTTTAAAAGTTAGGTAGAATTCAGCAGTGAATCCACCGAGTCCTGGCATTTTCTTTGTCAGAAGCTACTTTATTACTGCTTCAATCTCATTGATTGTTGTAGATCCATTTAGGTTACATATATATATGTCCCTTTGGTTCAATTTTGGTAGGTAATATGTGTCTAGAAATTTATCTAGTTTTTCAAATTTATTAGAATATAATTTTTAAAAATATTCTCTAATGATCCTCTGAATTTCAGTGGTATCTTGTTATAATGTCCTCTTCACCTCTAATTTTATTAATTTGGACCTTCTCTTTCTTTTAGTTAGTTTGGTTAAAGGTTTCTATCTTGTATATCTTTTCAAAGAACCAACTCTGTTCCATTGATCCTTTAGTTTCTATTTCATTAATTTCAACTGTGATCTTTACTTATGCTAATTTTGGGTTTGGTTTGTCCTTTGGTAGGGTTTTTTTGTTGTTTGTTTTTTTTGTACTATGGTTTGAACTCAAAGCTTTGTGCTTGCTAGGCAGGCGCTCTCCCACTTGAGCCACTCCACCAGCCCTAGTGGTAGAGTGCCTGCCTAGCAAGCATGAAGTCCTGAGTTCAAATCCCGTACCACCAAAAAAAAAAAAAAGCAACTGAGAACTGCCTTGACTATATCCCACAGATTCTCTTTAAGTAGTAGTTTCATTTTAGTTCAATTTTAGGAAGTTTTTTATTTTCCCCAGTGATACACTGATCATTCAGTCTCCATATTTTTGTGTATTTTCTGTGGTTTCCTTACTGTTGATTTCTGGTTTTACTCCATTATGATCTGATAAGATGCAAGAAATATATATATATATATATATATATTTGTAATTGTGAGGACTTATTTTCCACCTAGAATGTGATCTATTTTGGAGAACATTCTTTGACCTGCTGAGAAGAACATGTTTTCCACAGCTGTTGGGTGGAATATTGTATAGATTTCTGTTAAGTTCATTTGATCTGTTAAGTTTCATTTGCTCAAAGAAACTTCAGTTCAACTCTGAAGTTTCTTTGTTAATTTTTTGCCTGGGCGACTTTTCTGTTGATGAGATTGGAGTCTTAACTCTCCCACTATTATTATGTCTGAACCTATCTGTGCCTTTAATATCCATTAATGTTTGTCTTAAGGAATTAGGTACACCAATGTTTAGTGAACTTATATTTACAACTATATTTTGTTGATGTATTGTTCACTTTATTAGTGTGTAGTGACCTTCTTTACCTTTTCTCAGTCAATTTTAGCTTGTCATCTACTTGGTTAGATGAGTATAGCTAGTCAAACTTGCTTTTGGATTTCATGTGCTTGGAATGTCATTTTCTATCCTTTGTGTTTGTCTTTGCCAGTGAGGCCTGTTTCTTGGAGACAGCAAACAGTTGAATCATGTTTTTTAATCCAATTTGCAAGTCTGTGTCTTTTAATTGGAGAGTTAAAATCAAGAGGTATATGTAATTTCTGTGATTTTTTTCTAGTTGATTATTATTTGTTTTTTACTTTCTTATTCATCTTAGGGATTGGCTGGTTTACTGAGTTGAATATGTTTGATTCTTTCCTAATTCTCATTTGTTCATCTTTTTGTGAATTTTATTTTTCCAAAGCTCTTGTGATTGTGACTTTTTTTCCTCATCTGTGTGTAGGATCCCTTTAAGTATCTTTTGTGATACTGGCAAATGGTCATGAGTTGCTTTAGTTTGTGCTTATCTTGGAAGGTCTTTCCTAGATATAGTAATCTTGGTTGGCAGTTATTTACTCTTAGGACTTGAAATATCTCCTTTAATGTTTTCCTGCATTGTAGGGCTTCTCCTGAGAGGTCTGATGTAATTCTGATGCATTTGCCTATGTAAATACCTTCCTGGATGGATGGGGAAAGGAAAAATGAGAAAAGAAGCAAGATAGGAGAAGGAAAGTATATGAGATGAAAGCGTGAGGAATAATAGTAAGGAAAAACACAATAAAGCAAAAAGCAAGACAAAACAATAATAACAAAAAGACCAGTCATTATTTCTTGCTGAGGAGTTAGAATATTGACATTCCTCTTTTTTCCCCTCCCAGGGATGTCATTTTGCAGTTTATTTGCTGTGAGGGGCAGGGATGTATGGAGTCCAAACAGACTAGACCTGAGCTCTGCTCTACTTTCCTAGGGGGCACGAGTACTATTATGACTGCTGCTTGGTTGAATTCCTTCCCGTTCTCTCCATACGCAGGCCCAACAAGGAAACAAGTACATGAGCTGCCCTCAAGCTGCTTCTGAACTTGAGGACCACCCAGTTGGATACCCCTGATGCCAGAGGTGCTTAAGTGCACATGGGGGTGTGGGAAATGCCTAAGAGGTAGCTGCTTTTCCCCAACTGTCTTTGCTGTTTTGAGAGTGTAGAAAGAAGTCAGACCAAAGCAATCTAAGCAACCGATCCCACACACCCTGGTTAAACTAATCAGTCTCTGTCCTATCTCCTGTGCTCATATTCGCTCAGCTGGTCTCAACTCCTTTTCTCAGAGGTTGGGCTGCAGTTCCTAAATATAATTACCCTCCATTTCCCTCTTCAACATGACACAAACTTCCTATATCCCTGTGTCTGTGTCCAAGTCACAACCAGCTCCCACATTGATTATGTTTGTGGTTACTTTCTTAGCCAGTGAGGGAGGAAGGGAGCTTTTGAGTTGGAGGTATAAAAATGCAGGGGCTACTGTTTCCATCGCCGGAAGATTTGACTGTAAGACCTCTCTGGTGGCGGTTCCCTGTCATGCTCACTGTTTTGGCCAACAGTGTGGAGTGGGTCTGGTGGATAATTGAAAGAATATACGTGGAACAGGAGGCAATTGCATGTATATATAGGCAGCTTTATTCCAAGCAACAACACAGCACACTGCAGGAGGGAAGGAGAGATGGGGGCAACCTACCATCCCTGTCTCTTAAAACCCCCAAAAGCCAGTTATACAGCAGCCT